TTGTCGATCTAACCACAAGTTTATTCAGCTAATCTATTAATTAAAATGTTTTTTTTTTTTTTTTTTTTTTTTTTGTTTAAACACAAGTTTTCTCAATCAGTCAACTAACAACAACACATCGATACTAATCCTGAGACTAGTCACCTTCGTGCTTGGTAAAACCTCAAAGGGGCGGGGTTGGGTAGGACCTCAAAGAAGGGTGGCAAAGCACTTCCTTATGGGTTTTAAGGTTGTTGCACACCCCAGGGCTCGAACCAAAAAGTTCTTGTTAACATGGAAGGGACCTATACTATCTCATCCACACTCCAAGAGTAAAATGTGTTTTTTTTTTTTTATGACTAGGGAAAGAAACAATCACGCTACCTAATGGTACACACTAAGTAAATCTCGCTTATGTGTGTAACAACCCACAAACTACACAAGAGAAGTAAACCATACTAGAAAGTTCATGTATGATGGACTCGACTGAGAAGGTGTTGACAATAATAATCGAATTGAACTTGTGACATTTTGATACAAAAGTTATATTTCCACCCACTCGGACACCCATTTTAGGACAAATATGATTTTTTTTAGTGGTGTGTATGTACTTATTTCGGATACTAACATTCCATAAAAATGTGGCAATGAATTGTTCCTTATTTTATATTTTGAGAACAAAAATATACTTTAATTTCCCTTCATAAATTTATTTCTTCATCAATTCTTGACGAGTGACGTGACAATATATATAATTTTTTATTCATCAATTGTTCATGAATTGATTGCTTTCGAAGGAGTGGACGAAAGGATAAAATATGATTTTTGTACTTAGTCTTTTAAATGTTCTGTTGAGTCGGGGTGTGGGATCCTTAAAGTTAGGGTTTAATTTTTTGGAGGAATGATTTTTGTTCTTAGATGATAATGAATTTGATTCTTACCAATATTTTCTCGGTTAAACTTGTTACAATAGGTTTTCCTTTGTGTGTATTGTGGCAACGTGAGTGTTTATAAAAATATGCAATGGCTAATCTTGAAGTAGCTAGGTAGAACTTTTTTTATATATGTTTGTGTGTATTAATGTTGTAAGATTTTCCCTAATAATATATATTATATATTATATATTAGGGCCTTAATTAAGTGATGCAAGTTGGCTAGGCTTATTAAGTGGTCTGGTTGGACTTAATAACTAGTAGTTGTTAGTCAATCAAACTCTGTGCCTAATATAATCCTGAATTGATGGGATACATGATAATGATGTTAGCACATTCAGTTACGGTACTCAGACTGCTCAGTAGATACCAATACACCATCTAGGGTTCTGAGTCAGGTCTGAGGCAAAACATGGCTAACGGTCTACTGTTAAGAGGCAACACAACAGGAACATCAACTATGGCTGGAGATCAACACGGCTACGCTTCCGCTATCATACGAGGTCATGTTTCTCATATACTATAGTTCATATAGTTAGACTATTGTATATCTAACAAATGTATCATGACTTATATTTTCAAAATTTAATTTGACGAGTATTGGAATTTAGAATATATATACAAGTAATATTACTTAACGGTTGTTTTTTCCCGGCCCCTTATAATGTCCATAAAAATTTGCATGTTCATCATTATAATATTCATTGAATTTGATTTTAAAATTACTTTACATTAAATAAGTCAATATAAGTATGTAACATTGTCATTTATTAAAATTTGATAAAGATTTTTGGGGTGAAATCTTTCTCAAATAAGAGTTAGATTATTGTGTGCGGGCTTAAATATTAAAAAAAAAACTAAATATATAAATATACACACATGTATAAATATATATTTATTACATTATTATTATAATAATAATAATTATTATTATTATTATTATTATTATTATTATTATTATTTAAGATTTAGTTAATAAAGGCAAAGTTGGAATAATTTAAGGTAATCTAAAATTACATAAAAAAACGGGAGTAATCACATTACTTTGAAACATTACCGCCACATGGTAATATAACATTACCAGGTTATTTCATAACTTGAATCAAACAAGGTAATATAACATTACCAGACTCAGATTACCTAGGTAATTAAGATGACTTGAATCAAACGCCCCCTTAGGGGGCATTTGGCTCAAGTTATATAAGATAACCAAGGTTATATTTGCTTAGTAATATAAGATTCTCATGTTTGGTTTAAGTTATGTAACTTTTCAATGGAATGTCAGATAACATCCGCATTAAATTTTTAGTTATTGGAAGGGAATGTGAGATACCCTCCAACTTCTTAGGTAACCTCACATTCCCTTGTCTTATTACTAATGTTGGGCTTTGGACGTTTTAATCAATTTATATTATTACCATTGTCTTATTTACATATCTTAGTTTTAAACCAAACGCATGAATCTAACATTCCCTTAAGGTAATCTAACATTTCGTGAACCAAACACCTGTTTTAATGAGGAGTTTGGTGATAATAACAAACTGAGTTAGGTGATAATAACAAACTCTCATAAAAAGTAAAAATTGACGACCTTAGAAGGGTTGCTAAAAAAAATAATGAAAAAATGATGATGTTACTTTTATAAAAAGTACAGATTAGTCGTATTTATCCATTTAGATTGATCAAGAGCAGTGAGTTAAAGAAAAAAGTTGTAATATTTTTGTAATCACGATAATGCATTTGAAAACGCTTGATAATACATTTACAAAAATTGATCGTGAATTTATGACTAATAATAGTGCACTTACGCAATTACACTATTAATTTTACATGAATGCATAATCAAAAGTTTCTAAATACATCATTATAATTTTTTTTTTTAAATGTCACCATATTTATTTCATGTTTTCCTTAATTTTCCGTCCATGACCGGATGAAATTAATCGACACTGCATTTTTTACATGTGACATGTGTTATCACTTCAGCCTCACATCTACTATACTATATATATATATATATATATATATATATATATATATATATATATATATATACTAATAAGAGCCCAAGAGAATTAGGCCTATAATTAGTAGAAAAAATGGCGGTCACAGATTTTAATCAAATGAATGGCTCAGATTGATTAAAAGATTGATCAGATTTAAATTTTACACTAAACTTTTTAAAATACCCACGCACCGTTACTAATTCCGTTAAAATTTTAAGAATTGCCGTTAGTTCACCGTTAACTTACTCATTGATTTTAATTAAAAAAAAAAAAAAGGTCTTAGGTTCGAACCTCATCCCAATCAAAGTTGGCATAATTAGTACTCTGTTTTACTCTTATTAAATTATATATAAATAATAATTTAGTAGTTACAACAAAAAATAATACATATGCATTTCTTTAATTTAGAATTATATGTCCACAATGCCTTTATTCAAAAAAAAATTATTCATTATCAATAAATTAAATAAGAGAAATAATTTTATTAGTTATATTGTCTTTATTTTTCTTCAATATAAAAATTCTTTATATTCAAATTTATTAATTGATTATATTCGCTACATTGTCCTTACAATGTCTTTATTCAGTGAAAAAAAATTATTAATTATCAATAAATTAATTAAAAGAAATATTTTTCATTAGTAAAATTGTCTTTATTTTTCTCAAATGTAAAAATTTTTACATTCAAATTCATCAATTGATTATATTCACTACATTATCTATTATGTTTTTGTGCACTATTTTTCTAATTAAATATCAAAGTTATAATACAAAATAATGCTATATATTTATTTACCAAGTATTTTATTAATACCATGAAAAAATTTTAAAAAATAAAATTAATAAAGCCAACCATATTAACTACTTTGAGAGATTTTGTAACAAAGAGAGTATTCAAATCACACAACAAATTGAAGTGAGAATTATCTCGCAATGTCCTTGTTTGACAATCAGCAGTTAGCGGATTATACTAGCGGATTTGATCAGCGAATTTATTTAATTATTAACATTGGGTAGAATAAAATGACCGCCAAATTATTAAATCAAATGAATGGTTCATATTGTTCAGATTATAATTTTTTTCTTTTAAGATTTTCTAATTTATCCTTAATTATATGATTATCCATTTAACTTTTCTGTTAATTCACCGTTAGTCTAATTCTAATATTAAAGTCTAATATAGTATATATTTAATATTTTATGCCCTAATTTTTATGTGTTCTCCCTTATGTCCCGTATTTGGTTTCAACTATACCTATACAATTATTTTATTGACAATTATAATCAATCTTGATTATATTATCTTGCATTTGTAAATTGAGAATTACCTATTTAACCCGCACGGGCTTAGCTCAATGGTTTAGTGGGTAGTATTTAGGAGAAGAGACCAACGTTTGAACCTCGGCAGCGACAGTGCGAGAATTATGTCCAAAGTGGGCAGATTCCTTGTGCGTATCAGCATTTGGCCCTGTCTACTGAACCATTGAGTCACCGTGATTTACAACTTCCCACAATGTTCTGTCTGGCCGGAGTCTGGGGGGCCCTTGGGGTTGAGGACTCAACCTTTGGGAGAAGAATTACCTATTTAAATACGCAAATTCAATCTTCAATTATCTATGCATGAACCATTTCAATATAATCCTGCCTTAATATACTTTAAAGTACTTATTTAAAAAAAAAAGCATTGGACATTATCCCAATCGTGCAATGCGCCTAAAAAACTAGTATATATATAAAATCTATCAGACAATCACTCTATCCATTAAATATTCAAATGGCTTCATACTAGGAATAGAAATAAATTTAAACTAAACTGTACTTCAAACTGTCAACCGAAAAAAAGAGGTGATATTTCCAAGTTTTGTATTAAAAAGGACAACTACTATCCTGAAGGCTGCAGCTATTACAAGAATCAAAACAGAGAGACCTCTCTAATCTCTCCGGTCTTCTCCATCCAAATACCGAGGATACCTCTCTATTCTCTCTTTTCTAGTCTCTATCCACCCCCACCCCCACCCTATGTTAACCCCCACCCCCACCCCCACCCACCCTACATTGTCTCCAAGTATCACTACCAGTTTCCACCCATAAAACCATAGCTGCTCTCAAACCGCCATAACTGTATATATTGCTTTCTTCCTTCATTCTCATTCTGGGTTTAATTTTCTCGACAAAACATCATGTTAGTGAAATCCTAGTACTTACTTTCTTGTAAAAAAAAATTGTGTTTTTTTTTTGGTGTCTTTGATAGGTAGAAACTATGGGGGGAGAAGATGGGTGGGGGAAATGGGCGTCGCCGCCGCCAACGGCGCCCACCGGTGCTGCACCGTTGTACGCAACGGCGGCGAAAGATGAGCACTGGACGCACTTTGATAGCTCAGTCAATGCCGTGTCTTTCGGGTTCGTCGCCACCGCCATTCTCATCGCCATGTTCCTTGTCATGGCCATTTTTGAGCGGTTCCTCAGACCCACTTCCCCGGAGTCTTCGCCGCCGCCGCCGTCTTCCGGCCGCCGGATCCCCGGCGACATCGAGTCCCAGATGACTTTCCACCCAAAACTCTGCCACCCAACGCCTAAAGTAAGGATTTTTAGCATGTTGGTAGTCTCATGAACTCATTGATTGTTTGGAAATTATAATGAAATTCTGGGCTAGCTTCACTAGGAGTTTAAGAATAGATTGTATTATTAAATCTATCAAATCCCATGATTAAGTGCATCATTAGCGCAAAATCTTGTTGGTATCTGTGACATTTCCTGTCCCTTGATTAGGCTAATTACTGTCTTAGTGTCTTGTGTCTTGCATAGTTACCAAACAAATTGAGTGAATTTCACAAACTCATCGTGGGAGTGACCTATTGACCTTCTAGGTTTGAGTTGATAAGTAAATGGATAACTTAATTTTATTTACTTTCTTGTGTTTTTTTGTTGACTGGGTCGAGATTTATCCCGTGCACAACTTCATAGTGGCTATGCGATTCTCTGGTTATCCATCAAAAATTTATTGAATTTTCTCTTTGTAAGATTTTCCCTAATAATATATATATATATATATATATATATATATATATATATATATATATATATATATATTATATTAGGGCCTTAATTAAGTGGTGCAAGTTAAGTAGGCTTACTAAGTAGTTTGGTTGGATTTAATAACTAAAAGTTGTTAGACAAGCAGACTATGTGCCTAATATAAACCTAGATTGATGAGGTACAGAATATTCACTATATAGCAAATCCGTCATACTGCTCAGTAAACAACAATACACCATCAGTGGTTCTTGAGCCTCAAATGCAAAATTTGTACTGTTACATACCGTGCTTCCTCGTATTTTTTGTCTGCATTTCATTGTTTGTGAGCTTATGTTGTCGGTTATTGCAGCCCTTAACTAAGCTAGCAGACACACACATATACTCTGTCTCATACTCTTAATTTCCTGCATTTTACCTTGCAATGACTTGTGAAGTAATTGGATAATGCGTTTTGTCTTAATTGTCGAGACTGGACATTTATATTTTATATATTATATGCTCAAAAACGTGACATTATTGTTCCATTTGTTGCCACAGATTGTCACAAGTGACCAAGAATTTTCAGTGCTGATGCCTGGAGAAGAGATGCCAACTTTCATAGCCCATCTTGCTCCCATTTCTTGTCCTCCCAACCGCGATCCTCGTCTGAACACAACGATGATCCCACGCCCCCGTTGAGTACAGTCCACACGACGCCATTGTCCATGATTATCAACTAGAAGTACAAGCATTATTGTGATGGGAATTATTGGGGTTTTGAGTATATGATCACCTGTAGTAGTATCTTCCATGCATTTTTTTGGAGCACCCGATCGAGTTGGGAAATTTTTTCTGCCCTCGGGGTGGGCTCGTTTGGCTTGTGTAAATAGCGGTTAGAATTGAAGTGGTTTCTAATATCTTTACAGGTTTTCTTGAACATGTTTGGTTCAGTCATTCACTTGTTGCAGTGAGGCAAACAGGGCAGTAAAGAGTGAACTACAAACTATGTTGCCTGCTTTAATCAACTGTTGTGTTAACATGTTTAAGGAAACTGCAAACAACAAACATTGTATCATAAAACTGGTGGGAAGTCAAATCATGAATTGCATGAATATCCCAGCCAGATAAGCTCACACATGTTATGTTATATTTCTGTCATTCATTCTGCAATCCTTTAATTTGCTGTAAGTTCATCTGCATGTAATGGCTCTTCATGCATGATTGCATGATGCATGTACATCTAATGAACTAACAATGGTGGTGTGTGAATTGTTGGGTGACGAGAGAAAACCGTAACCACTACCTTAGTGTGTGTATTGAGTAAACCTCGCCTTGTGACTAGTCATGCTCACGGTTCAATTTCGATTCAGTTCCGATTTTAAAACGACGGTTCCCGATTCTAGAATAGGCTGAACCAGAACCGGACCTTGTATAAAGGTTCTACATTCGGTTTCGAAACCGACTGTTCCAGTTCGACCGGATTTTTAAAAAAAATATTTTGTAAAATTTATTTTGTATTTTTAAAATTGTCTAAATTCAACAATTACTTTTTTTTTTTGAAATTTTTCCATTCTAAAATTATTGTTTTTTTTTTAAACAAGTTCTAAAATATTTTTAAAATAATTACATTAAATATTTAAACTTCAAAAGTTAAAATGTAAAAAAAAAAAATTGTTATTGTTGAACTTTAAAATGTTATTTAAAGTTTAAATTTTAATTAAATAATTTTAAACTTTAATCAAATAATAAATAATTAAAATTTATTTTTTTAAAAAAAATTCCCAACTATCTGGTTCCAAATATTATAGTTCCGGTTCCGGTTTCAATAGTGCACTGTTCAATCAAACCTTGGTCATCCATACTTGTGACTCTAGCTGGTAAATAATCACAATGAGGTAAACCATCTTAGGTTGCCTATAACTGACTGACTCAAATCAAGAATGCCAATTGACGGTTTCTACTGAGAGTCAAATTTAAAACCTTATGGTTATCAAGTGTGGTGTTATTCATACAATAATGAAGGATATGCTAGGATTGACAAACTCAAATCCCACATTGGTAGATTGAGAAAAATGATTGTTGTCCCGTGAGGCTAACATAGTGGTTGATCACTTGCCCACTTGGCCTCAAAGTCATGGCTGGAGGTGGCAAGATGAAAGTTCGAACTCCACCTCAAACATCATTAGAAGTTAGGCTCTCCTATTTTTGGACTTGGGCTCCTTATGTTGGAATATGGGTTGAATTCCTTGTCCACAGTAAAACATATGACTAACGGAAAGGTATGACGTAAATTGAGAAACTTATACTTTTATATTTTTTTTTTTTAAAAATCATTCTTGGCCCAATACTTTGACCCTCTATTTATTTGTAGATATGTACTCTGTAGTTTTTTTGACACTTTTGTCCGTCGTTATATCATAGACTGCGGTGCACATGCACCGCGGTAAAAAACGGCGCCGTTTCTTTAAGTAAAGAAACGGCCCGTCGTTATTGTTAACGGAGTCCATTTGTTTGATGTATTAAACACCAACTGATACTACAATATATCTAAACCGACACTGCAGTTATATCAAATTGATACTGTAGTTGTAGTGAAATGAAACTGAAGTGTATATAAAATGAAACTGAATAACATTTCACATATTTGAGTGTATATTGTACAATGAAACTGTAATTATATCAAAATGATCATGTAGTTGTGTTTTAATAAAATTATAGTGTATATAAAATAAAATTAAATAACATTTTCACATATTTGAGTCTATAAATATCGAATGAAACTGTAGTTATATCAAAATGAAACTGTAGTTGTGTTGAACTGAAACTGCAGTGTATACGAAATGAAACTGAATAACAAAGTTACTTTTTGCGGAAGGGTGCAGAACGGCGAAAAACGAATGCCGTTTATTTTCATTTAACAAAACGACGTAATTTTGATGCGCGGTGCATAATCGATTATGCACCGCGGTGTACGATATAATTTACTCACTTTTGTTAAATTGTCTTACAAATCTTTATTCATGAGAAAGATGTAGTCATTCCGTCAATATTAAGAAGAATAAAAAATTAAATATTTAAAAGAAAAAGGTTTTGGTTCGTACCAAAAAGAACAACACTGCCGCGTCTGCCAGCACCGTTTCTTCTTCTCCCCCACCACTCTCTCTCTCTCTTTTTCCCCGACAGAAATACTTTCGTAAAACTACAGTATATACACAACAATGTAAGCATTCTCTCTCTATCCGTATTTACAATTACACTTTGCTCTCCGATTCTCTTCCCGACAGCACCAACTTATACTTGAAGCTAAGCTAAAACACGCAAATTTTGTCTATTCATCACCCAGTGCCCGCCGGAGCTGCAGAGGTTCATTTCCATCTCATTCTTCAAGCTAAATGTCAGTGCAGGCACGCGTTTCTCGCTGTCGGGGCGGGTTACCGGATCGGGTTAGAGGTATTTTTACACAACTTGTGTTTCTTGATGATTCTTTGATGGATGAACTGATAGTTAATGTTAAGATCCCTTCAGTGAACCCTTTAGTGAACTGCAAACGTCTGATTTTTTCTTATGCGCTTGATGCTAGTATGAATTACGACTTAACGAGTGAGATTATTTGTTGTTATCAGTGGAATTGTGAGTATTGATTTAGAGTTCATTAACTTTCTTCCCTTCCCGGGGAAAGAAAGCATTCTTTTAATCCAATTAAAGCTCCATGTTCTCATTTTTTCATTGCAGAATTTTTTTTAATTTTATGTTATATCTGTTAGCATTCACACGGCCTTAGGGTGCTCAAAGGATCACAGGGAGGTAAACCAGTCTAGTTTGCTCATAGTTGATAGGTTCAAACCAAGAAGGCCAATAGGCCGCTCTTGGTGAGTCGAACTTGTAACCTTGTGGTTACCGAGTCTAACAGTACCAACTTGGCTGAGGTTGTCCTCTTTTTGTTTTAAATATATTATAGATTTTGTTTATTTGTTTATTTATGGGTGATTGGTGGGATTTGGTGATGAATCCTATACTTTGAATGATGAGAATAAAGATGAGAACATTTTGAATTTGAGGTTACTGATTAGTTTGCTGATATTTGTTTGTTATTTTAGTAGCTGTGTTTTTTCTCAGAAGGTTCTCCTTTAATGCTCATTTCTGGTTGCACACATTGCAGCTTGTAAGGTCTTTCAGTGCTCTTTGTGCATATGAAGGAATTGGAATCATGGAGGCTGTTAATGAAGAAAAGAAGTGTCTTTTTTAAAGGGGTATGTTTGTTTGTAGTTCTGATTGCTATAAATTTCCATACATAAACTTTCGGGAGGTATTATAAATGCCTAATTGTCCAATTATGGTGAATGGAAGATCATAGGAAAATGCTACCGGGGGCAAATTTTAGTTCAAAATGATATGGCTTGCGACAATTGCCACAACCTTTCATGTTCATTGGCTACTCATGAATAGACATATTCTATTATGAGTTAATTAATTGAAACCAGTACCAAAAAACTTGGTCCATGTTTAATTATCCAAATCATATTGTGTATTAAGCATAATAAATGCTATTGCAGGGAATATGTGGAATGAAGATGAAACAGCTTCCATTTATGGGAATTATATTTACAGTAATGCTATTTATTGTATATAGAACAACTAATTTTCAGTATCAACGGACTGAGGTATTTCTGTTATTCTGTACCATTATAAGTTTGCTTATTTTGAATTTAAGTGATTTTATGTGCATATTGGCCAGTGACATCTCTGGGTTTTGCTTTAAACTTTCCAGTACTGCTCTGCATGAAGGTGTGATAGGATTTTGCTCCTGCACATCCTAAATTTATGAAGTGTTCTCCTGGAAATTGGAATGAACAAGATGTCAGTGCTTTTGTGCCTAAAAATTTCTCTTATGAAAATGATGTCAATGAAGAGTTTTGCATTAAAGTAGTAGTATACTTTGTTATTGCTGTGTGATGAATAAGAAAGGATTCAGATGAATTGTAAAATTCTTCCATATCCATAGCATAGTAGTTAAAAACTATTTTTATATCCTTTTTATTACGGAGCATCTTTCTTGTGAATCCTAATAATATCTTATAACTTTTCTCATTATCAGACAGTATCAGAATATGGTCCCTCCTACACTTTGAAGGTAGGTAATTTTAGTGCCAAGTTGGTATTAAATTGACATCATTTCATCTTTTCTTTTCTTGGATTGCTACAGTTTGTCATTCAAACACTGTTTTTAGATTGTGTCTTCTCAAATTTTCATGGCAGTGACTACTAGCTTTAAATAAATTTCTGATTTAAGCCATTTTCACATCTCATCACCTTTATGAGATGCTTTAATTGCTTTGATACAGCGTTCTGGTATGGCGAGCAAAAGGTCGAACAGTTTACCTCGTGGTATTAGTGAACCTAGATCAGATCTTGAACTAAAGCCTCTCTGGGCATTGAGTGCTTTGGAATCAAAGGTCTCATTCTTCTCCTTACTGATTTGAGATCAATGAAGCAATATTTTGGAATATTAATATCCTGCTAATTACAATTATATATCTGAGATCACATTTGTCCCCTCCACCCTCCCTTTTCCTCTCAATCACCTTCCTGTCCCCTCAAATGCTACATCTGTCTACTCCTTTTGGTTCTAAAGTCTAATCATTTCAGACTTATGTTTTCCATCTAGGCTGATCGTCCTGGATCTCTGAACTTGTTGGCAATGCCAGTTGGAATTAAACAGAAGGATAATGTTAACAAGATTGCTCAAAAGGTACAAAATTGTATTATGCATGCCTTTAACTAATTTTTTTCCCCAAGGGTGGGGATAATCATCTCATAATATTCTTTGCCTAATTTTTTTTTCTTTCTATATTTCAGTTTCTTCCAGAGAATTTCACAATTATTTTGTTCCATTATGATGGCAATGTGGATGGCTGGTGGGACCTTGCATGGACTAAGAAGGCCGTCCATATAGTTGCTCACAATCAAACAAAATGGTAAGGGCTGAAGAAAAGCTTTTTCCTTGTTTTCTCTAGATATGGCTACTTGATTGCTTCTAGATCTGAAACTCAATGAGAAAAATCGTAATTGAAGTGGTATTAAACCCTAGTTGAATGTGCTACATAGTATACATTTCGCTGTTGGTTGCTTTGTAAACCTTGTTCTTTTATTCTGTTTTTCTTTATTGGTTTTTACACAAGGATTGTGATTAAATTTCATTTCAGGTGGTTTGCAAAGCGTTTTCTGCATCCAGCTGTTGTATCTATTTATGACTACATTTTCCTATGGGATGAGGATTTGGGTGTCAAGAATTTTCATCCTGGAAGGTATCGGCATTCTGCTTGTTGATGATCTTGCTATGCGAAGTTTTAATCATCGACTGATATGATATGAATATCCATAGAAATTATTCTTTTATATGTGGTGCATCATTATAGATGTCAGACTAAACCTCTCCTTTCTGAGAATATGCTCATGTAGTTATTTGGATTTATATAGAATGTTCAAATATCCAGTATTCGTTCGGTTCTAGATTATGCTCTAAGAATTCTCTTTTTCTAGTTATCATGAACTTTGATATCTAAACTAGCCCTAACTTCTATTGGCAGTCAGATGTTCTGTGGCAATCCTCTTTCATTGTAGTTTTTTTTTTGGTCAGACTACGAGGTGTCCTGAGCAGGCCCTAACTGTAGGAAGCACCTTTAAGCCCGTACCATATTCAGACTAATCCCCGTTCGCACCGGGCCGGCCCAATTCAGTGGCAAAGTACTAGCCCGTACCATACTAAGACTAATCCCCGTTCGCACCGAGCCGGCCCAATTCAGGGGTAAAGTACTGGCCAGATTGGTTTTTCCATACGAGGGGTTCAAACTCCCGACCTCTCTTAAGGGACGAGAGTGCACGGCCGCTCACACCAACCAAGCTGGTTTCCTCTTTCATTGTAGTTAGTTTAATATTATTGTTCTTTGACTCATACAAATAAACCTACGAAATATCAGTTGTTTCGGATGCTATTCTTTTTGTTAGTTCATATTGGTGAGTTGATACCGGCACATTAATTTCTCTTTATAAAACCCTCCCTCCATTCCTTATCCCGTGTATTCAGGTACCTTGGAATTGTAAAGTCAGCAGGACTGGAGATATCTCAGCCAGCTCTAGACCCAAATTCGACTGGTATACACCACAGAATTACCATACGAAACAGAGCAAAGAAGTTTCACAGGTGACCCACGAGCTGGTCTGCTGGATTGTGAATACATATCCTCACTTTTTCGTAATTTCACCTTTGGACTATTCAGTCAATACTAATGCGCTCCACCTTAAGCAGAAAAGTGTATGAAGATAGGGGCAGTACAAAATGTTCAGATGAAAGTGAAGGCCCTCCATGTAGTGGGTAAGCTATCTTAGGTTCATAACTAGACTAGGGATAGTATTGGTTATCTTTTGCATTTCTGATTTTCTTAGTTTGGACCGTGAATAGGTTTTTATAACTGTGGTTAGGAGCATAGTCATATAACTACTGCCTTCTTCTTGGTAGAGCTTTTTGGCTCTAAAAATGTGCTTTCCAACTTACGTTGGGTCACGATTGGAAGTATTTATGATGGTTCTTTATCTTTATTTATGGAAATGCATTTATCAGTTTATGCTTACAGATTCGTGGAAGGAATGGCTCCAGTATTTTCAAGATCTGCATGGCGTTGTGCCTGGCATCTTATTCAGGTAACAAAAAAAAGAATTAACTCCATTTTTTGTCATAGATTTATAGGTGGCAGTCCACTTTTAGTCCTTTTTTTTTTCCCATAACATCCACTTTTGGTCCTAGTATTATTGTGGCATGACCATTTTTTGTCCTCTATCAACAAAACATTTTAAATGTCCTTAAATACAAGGGCATTTTGGTCTTTCATTATGGATTTTTTCAAAAAAATAAACATAAAAAATATAGCGAATTAACCTACTTTGCATAAAAAAGATCAAAACGTCCTTGTATTTAACGACATTTCAACGATTTTGTTGATGGAGGACCAAAAATAGTCATACTACAATAATATTAGGATCAAATGAGGATGTTCTGATAAAAAATGACTAGAAGTGGACTATCACCAATAAATCTAGGATCAAAAATGAAATTAACTCAAAAAGAAATTAAAAAGACCCTTCTCCCACAGCAGTGGTGCTCTAAATTTCATAATATTACCGACACATAAATTATTTTTGGTTTTCAATTTTTTTATTTTTATTTTTCCTTCATAAACAAAACTGCACTTAAAGGAATATCCAATTTTCTATTTTCTTTTTGTCAGAATGATCTTGTTCATGGATGGGGAGTGGACATGAAGCTTGGTTATTGTGCACAGGTGAGAACGAGATTAAACTACTTCTTGTCTTCTCCACCTCGGTACTCCAATTTTAAGCTATGAATCTACTTGGTATACAGTAGATATTTTGTTTTATGAATTGTATTTTATTATTTTTACGGTAAACTAATATTTTGCCTGAAATTTAGGGGGATCGGACGAAAAAGGTGGGAGTAGTTGATGGTGAATATATAGTACACCAGAGCATTCAAACTTTGGGTGGGGCATCTCAGAAAAAGGTAATTGTCCTACTACCTGTATATCATTCTCTAGACAAAGGGAAACTAGTGTTGCAATGGTCCACAGACTTTGGTTGGGCAATCCAAAAATGATTGTCCATTTGTCTGCTTTCACTTTTTTTGGTGATGCACAGCGCTGATTAGGCGACACTAGTGATTGTCTGAGCATATTTTACGGTTTATTATAGTGGGATCCTTAACTTCATTTTAGGTTTATGAGCTCCTTGATGAATTAATTGGACTATTTTTGATAAGCTTTTTGAGAAAATAAATTATACCCTTAAAGGTAATTTTGCATGTAATCAGCTATCAGCTAAGATAATTTACCAAACATCTTTCTGCAATAAGCTAATGCTATCAACTGGTCTAACCCGCTAACTCAATCCACTAATAGCTATTTGCCAAACAACCCCATAGTCTTTCTTGAGTTTTAAAACAATAATTGGTTCTTTTCATTTCGGAAAGGCATTATCAGAATGTGTTTGGTGCTTCCTACTCACTTCAAGCCGCAAAATCTTAGTTGACACAGCATTCCCGAGGGCACACTATCAAGTGCATAGGCATTCCGCTTGTCATAGTCTGCTCTCTTATGAGATATATATGGTTGTGTCTAGTATCTGAGCTTATATCTATTATAAATATCGCTTGAAATTTCATTTAACTCGCTCATAGTTTGCTTAATGGGTTTCTGCTTTACACTTTTATCATCTTTGGTATGAGCGCTAAAACTTAATTCAACCAAAGATATAACTACGTGAGTGTTTGATCATCCTCGTGTATTAGGATGCAAAGATGTTGGAATCTTGGTAACCTAGTGATTGTGGTTTACTCAAGCTTTAAAATTTGATATTCTCATATTCCCCTCCACAGAAGCCCCAAATTAAAACAAACAGATTAAATATATTGCATTCTTGTTGCTGCTTGTCTATGCGATGCTGCACTAATAATACTTCTATTTCCATTTCAGGCTTCAAAGAGTCAAGAGTCGATCAAGGTATGCGTTTGATTTTGTATGCCTAAATGTTATGGCTTTTTGGCTTAATACCCTTCCATAAAATCGCTATTTTCTCTTGGTCTGCAGAGGAATCCCGTTGATGCAAGATACGAGGTGAGACTTTGCATCTATTACGTGCTTCCACCATCTCAATTCTCTTGTTCCCGGATTTTTCATTTTGGTTTTGGCATTTCCGATCAAATCGTCTTTTAGATACGGAGGCAATCAGCGTACGAGCTGCAAACATTCAAAGATCGATGGGATCGAGCTGTGGAGGAGGACAAGAACTGGGTCGACCCATACAAAGAAACCCGGAGAATCAAGTTGCGCCGCAACCATAAGCGGCCGCATTTGAATGTAGTGAACTGATCAACAGCAATCCAGGAAGAACTGTAAGTCCCCTTTATGCATCAATTCCTTGTAATATCTTGTAAGCCTTGTAGAAGAACTATACATTATGGTGTTCATTATTTCTCATATTTTGCACCAACGCCTATGTGATCGAGTTGGTATTCAATTCGCTTTATGCATCTTGGGAATGCAATTCCCGGGAATGGGAAGAACTACATCTGTTAGTGTTAATAGTATCAAGTATAATTATGTATATTATTTGTTTTTGTATCGGGTATTATTAACTCCGATTTCATTTGGCACCTTTAAAAGAAATCCTTAACTTTAAATATTGTCAAAAAAAAAAAAAAAAAAGATAATGTTTAAAAAGATGTGCACCATGACGTACGGTGTCGGTGAATGATGCTGCTTTAAATCCGTAATTAACTCAGCCTTGCGTTAAGGTAAACTTTACTTTTGAATCCAAAAGACAACATAACGAAGATGGTTGTCTCCATCATTTCTTTGTTTATGCTAGCTTATTTTACATCCAATCAGCTAAAATTAAACAATTAATTTATTAAATTTTTTTTTACAATCAACTAATACTATCAGCTGGTCAAATTAGTTAACTTAACCACTTATTAGCTATTTGTTAAATATCTCTATAATCAGGGACGGAGTCAGAAAATATGTTGAGGGGGAGGGGGGGCAAAGAAGTAAAGATGAATTCAATGGCGGATTTAGAAATTTTTTTAAGTGAGGAAAAAAATTAAAATAAAAGAGAAAGTTTAAAAAAAATAAAATACTTAAAAAGTATAACAATAAATATTGTTGGATATAGCGAAAAATAAAACATATTAACTTTATAAAAATATGAAACATAATTAATTTGATAAAACAATTCGAATATAAAACACATTATAAATTACACATTCCATTATTAATATAAAGAAAGTTATAATGGAAGTTATATATATCATGCCAAAATTTAATTGTGTTAATCAAAAAAGTGAAGAAAACTGTGACATTGTCAATGCAAAGAGTCGAACCCAGGCCATTTCGAAACTCATACACATTAGCTACCACCTTATAATCTGTTTTATAATACTTACTAGTTTTTTACGCGCATTGCGCGATTGGGATGATGCCCAATGTTTTTTTTTTTTTAATATTAGAATTAGACTAACGGTGAATTAACGGTATTTAACGGAAAAGTTAAATGGATAATCATATAATTAAGGATAAATTACAAAAATATTAAAAAAATTAAAACCTGAACAATTTGAACCATTCATTTGATTTAATAATTTGACGGTCATTTTTTCTACCCAATGTTAATAATTAAATAAATTCGTTGTTCAAATCCGCTAATATAATCCGCTAACTACTGATTGTCAAACAAGGACATTGCAAGGTAGTTCTCACTTCAATTTGTTGTGTGATTTGAATACTCTCTTTGTCACAAAATCTCTCAAGTAGTTAATATGGTTGGCTTTAATTAATTATATTTTTTTTTAATTTTTTCATGGTATTAATAAAATACTTGGTAAATAAATATATAGCATTATTTTGTATTATAACTTTGATATTTAATTAGAAAAATAGTGCACAAAAAAGATAATAGACAATGTAGTAAATATAATCAATTGATGAATTTGAATGTAAAAATTTTTACATTTGAGAAAAATAAAGACAATATAACTAATGAAAAATATTTCTCTTAATTAATTTATTGATAATGAATAATTTTTTTCACTGAATTAAGACATTGTAAGGACAATGTAGCGAATATAATCAATTAATAAATTTGAATATAAAGAATTTTTATATTGTAGAAAAATAAAGACAATATAACTAATACAATTATTTCTCTTATTTAATTTATTGATAATGAATAATTTTTTTTTTGAATAAAGGCATTGTGGACACATAATTCTAAATTAAAGAAATGCATATCTATAATTTTTTGTTGTAGCTACTAAATTATTATTTATATAATTTAATAAGAGTAAAATAGAGTACTAATTATGCCAACTTTGATTGGGATGAGGTTCGAACCTAAGACCTTTTTTTTTTTTTTAATTGAAATCAATGAGTAAGTTAACGGTGAACTAACGGCAATTCTTAAAATTTTAACGGAATTAGTAACGGTGTGTGGGTATTTTAGGAAATTTTAGTATAAAATTTAAATCTTATCAATCTGAGCCATTCATTTGATTAAAATCTGTGACCGCCATTTTTTCTACCCATTATAGGCCTAACTCTCTTGGGCTCTTATTAGTATAGTAGATAGTAGATATGAATAATGTACTATATATACATATTATATACAATATAGGGTAGGGGAGGGGTGGGGTGGGGTGAGGGGGGGCAGCTGACCCCCCTGACTCCCCCTGCCCCCCCTCTGGCTCCGTCTATGTCTATAATGAACTTACTAAAAATAAACGTGTATCAAGAATTCAAGATTAATCTTGTAAAGTAGACTCGAGATTTATAATATAATTTGCAATCTACGGACTTGAACTAGGAAAAATGAATTATGAAGGTTGGTAGTACATCAGTTATACCATAGACAAATAAGGTGGACTCGAATCTAAAATACACAATTCATATATTGAATATTCACAATTTAAATTGTGGATATTCAGTATGTAAACTTGTGAAAATTCAGTAGGTAAATTGTAAATAGGAATAAGGTTCAAATTGGCCACTGAACGTAACCTGAAAATGCAATTAGGCCACTGAACGAAAAAAAAAGTGTAATTAGGCCACTGAACACTCAAAAAATGTGCAATTTCACCTTACAGCAGATTACCCTCAATTTTAGCAGGTTATCTGCTTACGTGGCAGCTGAGTTGTCATTTTTAATAAATTTTAAAGATTTTTTAATAAATTTTTATTTAATTTTTTTTTAAAAAATAAAAACGACTTTATTTTATTATTTATTTTTTTCAATTTTTTATAAAATTTATTATTAAAATTAATTATTAAAAATTATTTAAAATTTATTAAAAATGCCAACTCAGCTGCCACGTAAGCAGGTAACCTGCTAAAATTGATGGTAACCTGCTATCCGGTGAAATTGCATACGTTTGAAGAGTTCAGTGGCCTAATTGCACGTTTTTGGAGTGTTCAGTGGCCTAATTGCACTTTTTTTTCGTTCAGTGACTTAATTGCATTTTCAGGTTACGTTCAGTGGCCAATTTGAACCTTATTCCTTGTAAATATTCAATATGTAAATTATATATTTTTGAATTCAAGTCAATATTGCAAGGTGGACCGTGTTCACAGAATAATTTGCCCGGTAGTAGGTGTTGGGCTTGGGAGGAACGGGAGCAGTTAGATGACTTGATACTTAAACAATTTTGATCACCTTATACTCATACTTAAACATAAATCACTTCATTGATTTATAATTTATGCTTGGCTAAATGTATTTAAGCACTAATATATTAATGAATTTTTTGCACTTTTAGTTCCACGACTATAGTGGCACTGGCAGAATTGATCCACGACTTTTGAACCTTGCAATTTTAGTCCACGACTATTGATTTTTTTGCAAAAATGTTCCTTCCGGCCACTTTTCCGTCAAAATTTTATCGGGAAAAAAAAATTCTCTATTTTTAGCCGGGTTAAAATTGACATTTTACTTATCTCAAAAAAAAGAAAAAAATTGATATTTGACTACATACAATATTACTGGGCTACATACTACTGCCCCAGGTAACGGAGTACATGTACCACTCCAATGCTGTTGCCGGATAACCCAACTAGCCCGGGGAACGCCACGGCCGCTCCGCCGCTTACTGACAGCCCTGCCTGCTCCAGGAACTCCGCCGCCTGGGGCAGTAGTATGTAACCCAGTATTATTGTATGTAGTCAAATATCAATTTTTTTCTTTTAATTTTTTTAGATAAGTAAAATGTCAATTTTAACTCGGCTAAAAATGAAAATTTTTTTTCGGTGAAATTTTAACGGAAAAGTGGTCGGAAGGACCATTTTTACAAAAAAAATCAATAGTTGTGGACTAAAATTGCAAGGTTCAAAAGTCGTGGATCAATTCGTCATGCCACTATAGTCATGGGACTAAAAGTGCAAAAAACTCTATATTAATCTATCTCAACTACTAACACCACATAATCAACAAACTTTAGCCTAAGACGCAATTTTTAATGCAGTAAAAATTTACCTTTAAGCAATATACTAAAAATAAATTTTTAAAAATAATTTATAGTACAATAAAAAAAATTCATTATCCTAAAAATGAATATATATGTCAGTCCTTGTAACATTGACCATAATCCACAATATAATGATTGGTCTAATCCTTTCCCGTTCAGTACCAAATGTTGACTCATTCACTAGAAACAAGACTAAATTTTTATTTGACGACTACTTAAATTACCTACTAAGAATCTTGTGGTTCAATGGTACCAAATTGAATTCTCATATGAGAGGTTGTGGATTTGAGCCTTAGTGGAGTTATTTATTGATTCTTTACCTCGTCAGGCTATCATATTCTATTTTTAATATGCCATATGTCAGTTTTATTTTATTATTCTTTTGATTAGACCGCAATGTGTCCTGAGTGGTAATTTACATCATGAACCAGAGTCCACATAGCATTATGGACTCTTGATCGAAACGAAGAGCTACAAAATTCATACTCGTAAGATATAGAATTTCATAACACAAGACACATATACATGTTATATATTTACTTATTTTTCAAATCTGATTTAGGTACAAAATTTGTGTACATAGGCATATAATTTCACAACACAAGACACATAAATTTATAACATAAGACACAATTACTAAATTGTTTCAGGTACAAAATTTCATAACACAAGACACAAAACTCACAACATGAGACACATACACATGCACCAGGGTCCACAGTGCAGTGTGAACCCTGGTCCATGGTATAAGGATTGGTCTCGAGTAGACCCTAAGAGCATCCACATCAGTTGGGGAGAATTTGGGGATAATGTAAGAGTGATTAGGAAAGAGAAAGTGGGAGGGGAGAGAAAAAAAGGAAAAAAAAAGGTGAAAACTGAAATTAAAAAAAAAAAAAAAACAAAAAGCTGAAGCGTCAGGCGCACTGAAACAGCGCGCCTGACGCGTACACGGGCGCGTGCAATGCATGTGCCCGTGTGGCCACAGGCTGTGCGCAAACGTGCGCAACCTGTGTTGCTTAATTTTTTTTTACTTTTTCTTTCTTCTGACATTATTTTTGCATTTGCAAGACAAATATTCTCTCAAATAACCCCACTCCACATCTCTTAATATCCCCATCTAAGTTTATTCATCTGACATTAATCCCTTATTAACCTTTGGTGTGGATGCTCTAACTATATGAGGTAACTTTATATTCGTACTATACTCAAACTAATTACAGTTCACATCAAACCAATCCTATTAAGGGACAATTACGGGTCATGTTGATTTTTTTTTTTATACGAAAGAAAATTTTGAACTCTCAATATGTTTTAAATGATGAAAGTGTACGACCTCACCTCAACCAAACTAATTATATATTGTTTTCTTTGCCGAATAGCATAAAACAATAAAACAATATAGTATATAGTATAATATTAATAAAAAATCAAACAAACTAAATAGAATAAAATACGAAACACCCTAACTTGACATGACCGAAATCAAAACAGGTCTACAATGTTTCAGAGCTGACCAAAAACTTTGTTTTCTCTCTCTAAAATTCCTCCCGATTCCATCGTAAAAAGCTCCGAGGTTTTCCTTATCTGCTAAGCTGCCTCATTTTCGTCAGTATTATTAACCGTTCATATTCAGATCTCAGCTTCTCTGATTGCCGAGGAGCTACCTTCTGAGCTGAAATGGCCGGCCGTTACGATAGCAATCCTTTCGAGGAAGAGGAAGAAGTTAATCCGTTTGCCGTAAGCTCACTCCTTCCCTCTCTCTACGCGTATTTGTGTGCCTGTGTTTCTCTGTTCTAAGGCTCAGATGCGCGATTCAACTTCTCTACCTCTGTATTTACTGTATTTATGTTTGTATGTGTGTGCTTTGCCTAATTGTCTACCTGTTGCTTTGTAAGTAGTAATTTGATTCAGAATTTGGTACTGCGGAAGAGTTTTTTGAGGTGTTAGGATGCGATCTATTGGAAATCTGAAATGGATTGGATTTCCGTATGGGAGTTGGGGATTGAGTTGATCGATTTGACTTACTGTATGCTGTTTTGTACTTCTGTTATGTTAGGTATAGCTACATGTGTATATTGCTTGGAACATTAGATTTATGTTTGGTAAATTGAACCTTGTGGTTGGGAAAAGCTGAAGAAGTGCGATCTGTGTTTTGAGTATGAGGAAAGACTGGCTTTGTGTGGCCACAGCTGTAGGAAGTTGGTTATTTATAGGAATGCCCTCAGTATGTATGAGTTGGTTTTACTGGTTCTGGCTCTGATTCTTGAACTTCTCATGTGTGTCTAAGAGCATCAATATGAAATTTCTGCCTTGTACTTTTGGTATGTCACTTATTTTTTCTTCTCATGTTTGCTAACCAGGACCATGGAGCTAGGGGAAAAGCAGCAGGGGGGTCTGCATTTAGTGGAGGTGCATTTTACACAACAGTAAGTTTGGATTGTTTCCTTCGGTTTTTGAAGTTGTGTAAAAATAAAAACTCATTAATCATATAATGGATGTTGTGCAGAAATAACCAGCACCTAGAATTGTCTTTAGTAGCTATAGACTGAGAATTATTATTTTTACTATTGTTAATGTGCCACATTAATGAGATCCTGAATAGAATTTTTGTTTTTACCCTGTTTTATTCTGCGTTTAGTAAGATGAAAACATCGGATAAAACACGAAAAATGATTTAATGCTGTCAGTAAAACATTGAAATAACAATTACCAAGATATAATAAAACCACTGCTCTAACCTGAATTGACAATTGTTCTACTTGTAGTTCCTATAGTCTTCCCGTAATTGCAAATCTAGCCCATCTGCCAAATACTCTTTGTCAAATAACAGTTCCAATAAATCTATTTTCTGTTTGAGTTATTAAATAAAATATGAATTTGATTACAAGCAGTCAAGCAGTTGATCGATAGTACTTCAAGACTGTTTACCACTTTACCCTCATGGTGGATGTTAGGTTTGGGAAGTTGTGACTCTGGGAGGTCGTTTAGACAGTGTTTAGGGGTTTGGAGTATCAAATTTATGGTTTTGAAATTTGAATGCTGGTTGAATTTGGCATTCAGTGGTTATGGTGTTCAAATTAGTCAAATAGGAGGTCAACAACTATCTCTAATTTAGAAACTATTAGTTTCTCTTGTTTGGACAAGAAAGAAAATGTAAGGGAAAGATTATAGAAATTGGGGAAGAAAATAATCCTTTATCGTATCAAACATATTTTTCTCTAACAAAATGGGAGGAAAATGATGAAAAAATTAGCCCTCTATTTCTCAGTGGACATGACGTATGGAACTCCTTTCTTCCTCTCTCTCTCTCTCTCTCTCTCTCTATCTATCTCTCTCTCTCTCTCTCTCTCTCTCTTAATTTCCTTCCTATCTAACCAACTTGCCCACCCCTCCCTACCCCAAACTTTCTCCCCATCCTAATTCCTAACACAGCACAAATGTTGAAATGGGGTGATATGATATCATCAGTTGCATGGTGGTAATACACAGGTGCTTTATTTGGGACTGATTGCCCTATTATTGTGGCAGACCTTATACTGATATTGGTGGGGCCATGCAAACTTACACAGTCATAGAAGAGGAGAGAAATAGAGCAAGGTGGATAAGTTCTGTGTGATACTCTGCTGGTAGTTTGTATACAAATTTTGGATATACTGACTGTGTGACTCGCTATGATTTTTTTAAAGTAATCTTTTAGCTAGTGGCCGAGCCAGGATTTAGCTGTTGATGGGCAAGTGTGATGGTGGTGAAGTGAAGTTTAGGTTGAGTCAAGTTTTGACACATCTAATTTTCGAATTGTATAGATGTTGGAATTGGGTCTAGTTGGTTTTTATTGAATTTAAGTATGAACCTTAAAAATGGACTGGATTGACTCATTTCTCTTTGGGCTCAAATTAGTTAATAAAAAATCATATTATTCTAAAATAGTAAAATGTAAAATTATTATAATTTTTATTTATTTCATAATATAAAATTACATAGCTTTATTTATTCTACTCATGAAAATAAATATTGCACCCATTGCTTTTAAAGTACTAAAAGAGTTTAAAAAGGAAAATTATAAGAAAAATTCAAGTATATCCAAATGTCAAATTATTCCTATTAATAGTTAATTCAAAGGTTTTATAAGAAGATGCATGATTAATAATTATATTAAGGTGCAGCAATATATTGATTATTAATTCACAATAAAAAGTTAGAATCTAAAACAACAAATCAAAAAAGTTGCTTTTGTCCCTTAAGAAAAGGGACCTGGGCATGATAATATAATGGAATCTAATTTTGTGGATAAACTTGGAGTTGGAGCTAATTCGCTGTTAAAGTTTGTTGTTTGAAACCTTAATCATTTGTCTATTCTCAAAGCTTTTGAAAGCTATGTATAATTAGAAAGACATTTAACATTCTAACTTTAATGCTAAATCTTTATTATAAAACTTAGAGACATTTTTAATATGTTATTAAGAAAAAATTATTCATTATAAATTAGAATCTTTTTATGTATTTGTGAAGTCAATTATATTTTGTCAATATGTATTATTTTCATATACTATGAGGGTACTTTATTATTATTGTTATTGTTGTTGTTGTTGTTATTATTATTATTATTATTATTATTATTATTATTATTATTATTTTAAGAAATAAGTTTAGAATTTTTTAGTACATTTATAATTTAGTTAAAAATCATACAAAACGGAACCAGTGGAGAAAATCAACTTATGAACCTTTTGTATTTTGATATGTGAAAAGTATAACTAAAGATTGGCACAAGCCGGGGTGGGGGTGGTGAATGGAATGTATTTCTAAATTTTTTAACAAAATACTACTGCATCCGTCCCAATTTGCTGTTATGGAGGTAAATTACTAAATTTTTACTTTTTAAGTTTTGATATTTGTAAGGTTAACTTTTGCAAATAAAATTTGATATTAAAAAACTATGTATTACTCCGTAACTATTAAGTATTTACTTATTTCAAGAATCTCAACTCAAAATTTTAAAGAAATATGTTATTATGTTTAAAGAAAAGAAAAGTTCCACTTCTATTTGTAGCTCCATTTGTGTACCTGACTACCTGAGTACTACACAAGCATAAAACATATTTTGATTATTATTCTTTATCTGTCTAACATGTTTCAAAACATCTTGATTAAATATTTTCATTTCTCATTGCAGAGCTCTGGCAGTGTTCCTCCAGCTACAAACTCAAGGCTTTCACCTCTTCCTCCTGAACCAGCTGGTTTCTATAATAGCAATGACTCTGTTGATATTCCACTAGACAATACATCGGTGTGTTAACTTCCAGAATTGATGAGTACACATAGCTGTGTTCATCTTCTTTGTTGTTTGTTGATGTCTATTAATTTGGTTTTATAGATTGATATCAATTTTAAACACAGGATTTAAAAAAGAAAGAGAAGGAGTTACAGGCTAAAGAGTCTGAACTGAGGAGAAGGGAGCAGGTATATATTAATGGAAAATATGAACTTCTTTCTTATCAACATTTGTCTTAGTAAGTTTTAAATTTCATTATTTTGAGTCCTGCATCTTAGTTTATATTCTTGTTCTCACTGGCTTGTGTAGAGCTTGGATTGCTACATCATTACAACTGCAGGAAAATTTTCAGAACTGTTCACAAAATTCAATAAGTAGATGTCATGATGCCTTTGTGGACAATACACTTTTTTCTTTTTCTTTTTTGGTTGTAATTTATTATAGTGAAGCACCACAATGTGAAATGAACTGCATTTCTGAAATGTGTACGTTGGGAGAGGGTTGTGCACAGTGCACCAATTCAAATTAAATGTTTATGAATCTCAAACATTTGGTCCAGTTGCAGAACTATGCATCATGGGCTCCTAAGCAAGGGTGTAATCCAAATTGATTTCAATACGCTACTACCTCCTTGTGTCAATATTTTTTTTTTACCTTCATCAACCATGTCTCTCACTGAAGTGAATGGACATTTTCCCAATTCTTTTCTTTCTATACTCCCAAAAAAAGTTCCTCTTATTTACTGGGAATTACTGGTGTGGTGAAATACCTTTTCATTATTTGATTTTTTTTTTTTTCTGTAATTCAGGACTTAAAGCGGAGAGAAGATGCCGCTGCTCGAGGTGCTTTTTACTCTTACTTGATATCTTTCCTCTTGCATCTCTATTCCATAACCTCTATTGTTTGTTAAGCATTTATGGCATATTAGACTTGAGTAATACATGCATACATTTCAGTGGCAAATTGACAATGATCACTGGTAAAATTGCCAAGATATAATTTGAGAAGAATGAAGTATAGCATTTTTAAAGTATCAGCAGTCTTTCATACTAGATAAAATATCAGCAAAGTGAAGGTATAACTGTTAACTATTCACTAAGCATGATTAACACAAATATCTAGATTGTAATTGTTTGATATTACATAATGGAATAATATAAATAATATGAAGTACAACACAAGGATAAAACTTAAAACATGTGAAGTGAAGCTATGCAAAAGGAAAAGGTTACTTCAAAGTAATTTGAAAAGCATAATGTACACCTCTACAAAGTGTAGATTTGTGTATTGTTCACAGTAAGTACTATGCACACAGCACACATCTTTGGGAAAGTTTGGGCTCTACTTAAATCGGTTACCAACCAAAAGAAAAGATAAAAATACACTGACATAGTATAACATGATGGATGATGTCATAGAGGAGATAGTGAGGGACTATTTCTTATTTTCTTTCATTTGTATATTGGGGAATGCTCCAGAAGCCAAAAGAGACAAAAGGCTGTGGCAGGAAAAGCATATCCTGATCAGGGTTAGAAGCCCAATTTTTTTGACATTTACAGTTTGAATTATGTTAAATAAAAAATTAGTGCTGCAGACATACAATTTGTCTACACACAAAATTATAATTATTAATTTATTACATAGTTAATGTAACCTTTTCACTTAACTGGGCTTGCTTTTTACAGCCTCCTTATGCCTATCCATTGTTCATGTTTTATCCTTAACTTCTTTTTCATCTGCAACATGCGTGCCAAATTGTCTTGTAACTTGACAATGTTTGATGCAACCTTAGTCTTGAAATATCTATTGACTGACTTACAAATTGAATTGTCAACTTTGATGTGCAGCTGGTATTGTTCTTGAGGAGAAGAACTGGCCTCCATTCCTCCCAATAATTCACCATGATATTGCTAATGAAATTCCAATTCATCTTCAGAGGCTGCAGTATGTTGCATTTACAACCTTGTTGGGTATGCCAAGTTTTGTTTCCTATGTTGGAATCGAAAATTCCTCCTCTTGTTGTGCAGCTCCATTTTAGCTAGGCTGTGTATATGCAGTTGAACTCCCAGTGTTGATTGCGAAAATTATAGGTTTCTAGAACTTTTAGGTGTTCTAGTGCCCATCTTGTATTTTATAGAGGTCTATCTTTTCTGATTTGAAGTTTTCAAGCTTTTTCATATGGCTACTTGCCTACTTGTTTCCTTATTTGTTGTGTAATGTAATGCTTTGTTTTTATATGCACTGTTGGTGAGCAGGGCTTGTTGCTTGTCTTTTGTGGAATGTAATTGCTGTCACTACTGCATGGATTAAAGAGGGAGGTTTGTATACATCATGTTTGATTTAGGTGAATGCTATTAATCATAATGCTCTTGACTAGGTATTCTAATCTGAAGATTTTTGTTGCAGATGTAAAAATCTGGTTCCTATCTCTTATCTATTTCATCTCAGGGGTTCCAGGAGCCTATGTACTGTGGTATCGTCCACTATATCGTGCTTTTAGGTAAATTTTCCTCAGTTGAACCATATTCTACTTGTGTCAATGAATCAGTTATTCTTGATAAAATGTGTCTGGCAATCTTAGGTGTTGGGGATTGCAAACTATTTTGCTAAATTTTACCTTAGAAAAATACTTATTGTAATACATGCTAGTTTTTAGGTGGTAACTCTTTACTTTATGACACTAAATGTTCTTGACTTGTTCACCTTTTCCTTTTGTGTATATACTTGTGTATATATTGCAATGCATATGCATCCGTTTCCTTATTTTCATTAAATGTGTCTGTCCTTTTCTTATGTAATGCATTTTTAAACATGATGTGATATGGCTTATATTTTAATGGATTTTGCAGGAATGAAAGTGCACTGAAGTTTGGATGGTTTTTCATGTTTTACTTGGTAAGATTCTTGTGCTGAAGTCCTGTATTCCTTGCCTTGTGATTCAAAATTCTCACATCTTGCCCCTCTGTGCAGCTTCACATTGGATTCTGCATCTTTGCTGCTGTTGCTCCTCCAGTAGTTTTCAGAGGCAAATCTCTAACGTAAATTCCTATTGCTACTTGCATATAAACTTCTTTAGGGAACTCATTTGATAGCTACTGCACTTTTTTTCATTGGTTAAATTTCTGCATCACAATTTGTCTTCACCTATTTGAGGAGATGATTATGGTTACAGTGTTGTAAACTCCAACTTCTAGTTTGTCAATCTGTGCAAAATCTATGCCGATGCCATCTCATTAAAGGAGTTGGTTACATACATTTACTAATAATCTGAACCTGCGTTATTTGTTGGAACAGAGGTATCCTGCCCGCAGTAGACCTCATAGGCAAGCAAGTATTGGTCGGGGTAAGTATTGAGCATATGCTTGGGGTTATTTTTATATTTTCTTTTTCTCTTTCTTTTACCCCTCTCCACGTTTCTGGGTTGTTAAAAGAGAAACGAACCAGCCGCAAGTGGAATGTGTGTCATATAGCAAGAGTCTACCCACTGAATAGTTTCTGGTGATTCATATGTTAACAGATTTTCTACTTCATCGGCTTTGGCCTTTTTTGCCTGGAATCAGTAATCAGTGTCTGGGTTATTCAGGTACGCCTCAATCTCATTCTTTATACTTTATACATGCATAAGGAACTACTTACAGTCTCGCTCCTCGAGTTCCCGGAATCCAAATTGTTCTTATCAAGTGCCCTGTCATTTTGCAGCAAGTCTACATGTATTTCCGAGGCAGTGGCAAAGCTGCACAGATGAAACGCGAGGCTGCTAGAGGAGCCATGAGAGCGGCGATATGATGTTCTCCCCCTCCCACTACCACCGCTGCATTGAGTGATTTTGGGCACTGACGAGTTGGCCTGCCTGTGTGCCAATTAGGCGGGCGCTAGATACATGAGTTGCTTACTTCAGCTTAGGCATATATGCTTGTTTCATATGTTAGTATTTGTTCCTGCGATATATGGTTTTACCTTTTGACCAAAGTGCCTTGATTACATTATAGAAACTATACTTTCTACCTTTTTGGACACAACGGATTCGTGTGTAAATCTATATCGTTTTCATTAATCATTATTTGGTGCTTCTATATTTGGGTGTCTTCAAAAATCTAAAAAGATAGGTGATCTAGTAATTACACAGAAGTCAATTAAGTTGTCATTTTGTCATCATAAAATTAAATGATATCTTCCGTCTATATTTTTTATACGATAGTTTTGATATAAAATTGAATGATGTATTATTAATGTTTTGGTTGGACATTTTCTGACCAATTAATTTAGTCTATACATTGAAATATTTGACATTCACCAAATACCGTGAGCAGATTTGGTTGGACGCAATTATAAGTCTTTTCTAATCAAATTCTTTAACATTTAAAATTAAATTGTTTAGTTGGGTGAAATTACAATTTCTTTAACTCATTGAATTGAATTCAGCAACAATAGGGAAAGAGAAAAAAATGATAATATTACCCTTAATTATTATTATTATTATTATATAAAGACTATTAATCTTTATAGGGATGCAATTAAACCATCGAACTCAAATAACCATCAAATAAGCCATTGAACCCGAAAAAAAGAGCAAATAAGCCATTGAACCCTGAAAAAAAAAGCAATTAACATTTTTTATAGGTTAACTCCAAGTTGTTGCTGATTGGATTGCCAAATTTTTATTTTATTTACGTTTTTTTTTTTTTTTTTATTAATATTATGCACTTGGATAGTATTATATTTTAAAATAATTATAATCTAAATAGTTTTATCTTGTCGAGATTTGATTTGTTTATTTATTATTATTTTTTCACTAGATCTTTTGTTTAAAAAAATAATACGTAATAAATAAATAAATTAGATCTAGACAAGACAAAACTACTTTGATTATAATTACTTTAAAATATATTACTATGTAGATAGATTATAATAATAAAAAAAACGTAAATAAAATAAACATTTGGCAATCCAGTCAGTAAAAACCTGGAGTTAACCTGTTAAAAATGTTAATTGCTCTTTTTTTCCGAGTTCAATGGCTTATTTGGGGGTTATTTGAGTTTGATGGCTTAATTACTTTTTTCCCAAATAGTTCAGTGACTTATTTGTACTTTATCCCATCTTTATATCACCTCTTCTCTTTTAATTCTCGATAATTCTAATTTGACTTTTTACGTCCCATAACAAGTCTATGTCGGTCGCTATCAAAATATTAATGATGTAGGCTTGTTATAATTATGGGTCACTTGATTTGAGTGCTGCTGATTAGTCATAGGGCCGTTTGATTTGAGTGCCACTCGTTATATTATAGACCGCGGTGCACATGCACCGCGGTAAAAAACGGCGTCGTTTCTTTAAGTAAAGAAACGGCCCGCCGTTAGAGTTAACGGAGTCCGTTTGTTTGGTGTATTAAACACCAACTGACACTATAGTATATCTAAACCGATACTGTAGTTATATCAAAATGATACTGTAGTTATAGTTAAATGAAACTTCAGTGTATATAAAATGAAACTGAATAACATTTCACATATTTGAGTGTATATTGTACAATGAAGCTGTAATTATATCAAAATGATCATGTAGTTGTGTTTTAATGAAACTATAGTGTATATAAAATAAAATTAAATAACATTTTCACATATTTGAGTCTATAAATATTGAATGAAACTATAGTTATATCGAAATGAAACTGTAGTTGTGTTGAACTGAAACTGCAGTGTATACAAAATGACACTGAATAACAGAGTTACTTTTTATAAAAGGGTGCGAAACGGCGAAAACAAACACTGTTTATTTTCATTTAAAAAAAAAAAGACGCGCGGTGCATAATCGATTATGCACCGCGATGCATAATATAATTTGCCTTTGAGTGCTAATTAAAAATGTCAATAGTCAAAGCCTCATTTGATTCAGTGCTTCGTCAGATGTGATTTATGTTTGAAAATGATTCAAGAATTACGTCAAATCTGGTTTATTATATTGTCTAAATAATTCAAAGATCACGTCAAATGTAATTTATGTCGTCAAAATAATTCAAAACCTTAAATAAAACGAAAAACATCAAATTAAACTCCGTTGGCCGAAGATAGATACATTGTACTACGATGCCACACATTTCTCCCGATCAAACCTTCTACCCACACACTGCTTAAACAATAAATAGAGTTCATAAATCTCTTAAACATTAAACGAGATTATAATTATAATTATAATCATAATGATAATAAGTGATTAACAGTAAGCAAGACATTTCTTGGTGCAGTCCATGGTACAACCGCCGCCGCCGCCGCCGTAGCCGTAGCCCTTCCCGGCGCGGCTATACGCCTTGAAGCACTTCTCCGGGCACCTCAGCGTCTTGCCGTAACACGGGCCCTTTTCCTTGCACACCACCGTCGGTCTCACCGCCCCTCCCTTCGCATACCCTCCTCCGTTCGGGCCTCCGAACCCGGCCCCATACCCGCTCCCAAAATCCGGCATCCCGAAGTCGTTTCCCGGCCCAAAAAACCCCCCCGCAAACCCCCCACCGCCGCCGCTGTCTTTCTCCGCGGTCTTCCCGGAACGCGGATGTTCACGGCGGTGGTGGTGGTGCTTGCCGTGCTTCCGAGTTACCCCGGCGGCATGATGATCTGGGAGCGCAAAGATGGCCGGGATGAGCAAGAGCGCTAGGATGAGTATGGCTTTGGATTTCATCGCTGAAACTCAAAAAGTCTTTGTTCAGAAATGTGGGTAGAGTGGCATTTATTGAGAGAGAGAGAGAGAGAGAGAGAGAGAGAGAATTAAAAAAAAAAAAAAGGCAAAGAAGGATTGCGCGTATATATGGAGATCATAGAGATTCAAGAAAGGATGCACATGTGTCTGATTGGGAGAAGAGTATAGTGTTATAATTGAAGAAGATCATATGGGTGTAAAAGCATTGAAGAGAGGAGAGTGGGTGGCAGGTGTGGAGTGCTTGCAAGAGGCTTTAGACTCGGTTGTCCGCCATTATTACAATGACTGTATATCTCACGTTTCAAACGGAAAATTTTACAATGCTATTATCAGTTAATATTGTTCTCAAAAAGATTGAATCTTCAATTCCAATGATTCCCAAAGTCTTAGCCGGACAGAATATTTGGGAGGAGGTAGAGGTTGCTCTCATTCTATCGTTGGTGAGACTTGATACCGTGTCCTCAAACTTCGCCCCTGTGACCAATTGAGTTGTTCATGTGGGCTAAATTGAGTGTCTATGCCGGCTAAATTGAGTTAATATAGCTTTGAAATTAAAGGAACACTTATATCATGTCATTATAAACAAGTTTTAAGTGAGACATCATATCCACTAGACCAATACTTCTAGGGAGGTTGCGTTATTTGTAATGTTAGGAACATGATGATCATGTGAGATATTTGTAATGTTAGGAGCATGATCATGTGAGAATACAGAATTGTACAAATGAATTGTACTCCGTAGTTGTCAATTTGAGACAATCAATGACTCTAAAATAAGAGGGGAAAAAAATGGATGGTATTTTAGTAATATTATTTCAAATTTTAAATTTTTTCAAAGCTAAAAGTATACCAAGCAATAGTATTACAAAATGCACCAAATAATATTACAAAGCGCATTTAGTGATGCGGAAACTGTAATCGTCTTATGTGCACTTTTACATATCATTGGATGCATTTTTAGACGTATAAATATTGAGATACACTTACGTCTTACGTATCAGTGGATGACCTTATTATTTTACTCGTTACATTTTGTAATTTTACATGATATACTTTTAACATTTAAAACTTGATAATATTTATAAAATTATCACCGATTTTTTTTTTTTTTTTGAAACACTAACCATCCCAGATTGACCACTACCATTTGTCCCCACTTTTTATTTTTAAATTTTAACGTGTTAATTGAATGTAATGTATAGAGATTAACATTTTTATTTCCTTTTCTCTACTCAATGGGTGAAAATGCATGACAAAATGTATATTTCTTGACCGATTAGATAGATTAAAGTCCACTTTCATTATTGTAAGAGTTAATACTCAATTTCGTCCTCGAATATAGTACTTTTTTTGATTTAGTTCTAATTAAATGATTTTTGTGCTTAATTAGATCATCGATACAAATTTGATGGTTGTACTCAATTGAGTCCTCTATTAAGATAGTTTGATAATTTCACCTTTATTAATACACAATTTAGTCCTTGACTATAGTAGTTTTACCCAATTTAGTCTTCGACTATAATGGCGTGTTTGGTTCATGGAATAGGTCGGGGATGGAATACCGTTCCCGGAAATAGACCTATACCATTGCTGTTTTTTTTTTTTTTTTTTTTTTGTCGTTTTATTCAAGGTAATAGCGTTCCCGAGAATGAGCTATTCCCTTTGCAAGGGGAATAACCATTCCTAGGAGCCCCCCTGGTATTAGCTATTCCCAAGTATTTGGGAATAGTTTTAGTACTATAATACCGAAAATACCCTACCACCGCCACCACTGCCTCCGTCTCCGCCACCACCACCATCGCCACCGCCACCACAATCTCCACTGCCACCACCGCCACCACAATCGCCGCCGCCACTACTACCACCGCCACCACCGTCGCCACCGCCACCGCAACCACCACCGCCACCGCCACCGCCACCGCCACCACCACCACCACCAACACCACCACATATTTTTATAAGGGTATTTATGTCTTTTGAAACATATTTCATTCTATTCCTTAAACCAACCAAACACTGTAATATAATTCCTAAAGTCTATTCCTTCCGCGAACCAAACAATAGAATATAATTCATATTCTATTTCTTACCTATTCCATTCCTTATGGAATAACATTCCTATTACCTCAAAATTATTTTGTGAACCAAACGTGCTGTAATAGTTTTACCTAATTTTACTATGTTGACTTCTTTTTTTTTTTTCAATTTAGTCCTTGATATATTGTAATAGTCAAGGACTCAATTGGACAAAACCATCAAAATCGAGAACCTAATTAATCACAAAAAGTTGTTTAAGATTAAATACAAAAAAAAAAAAAATACTATAATCGATGACTAAATTAGATCTTTAACTCATTATTATAATTATTATTTTAAACATCTGATTAAATTGAAAAAAGATTCATGCATGCTATTTTATTCATACTCTATGTGTGTTTCACACCATTTACCTTTAATTTAACACCATAGTATAGCTTATCAGTTATCACTTTATTGTATGAAAACGAATGTGATGAAACAATTCAATAGACTAAATATGGTACCCTCGAGATTTCCCTAAATTGATGAGACAACCAAATTTATTATTTCTTATGTCTCATTTTACATGTCATGTCATGTTTACGTCCGCATGGACAACTTAATTAGTCATATGAGTGAAGTTTGAGAAGAATGGTCAAGAATCGAGTCCCACTAGCAAGCAAAGGTTTAGTCTATGTGGTTCAATTGAGTCACCATGCTTTATATCATCCCATATGCTCTGGGGATTTAACTTTTTGAGAAAAATGTCATGTCATGTTTACTATTCATTGGTCAAGCCAATTTTCTCTTCTTTGCTTATTTCTATTAGCATTTTCTTATAATTTTTAAATTTTTTGTGCTTATTAGTAATATTATGAAAAATTAAATTGTAAATAATTTTAGTCCAACCTCATTAATCAAACCCGACACGATGAAAGAAATACAGTAAAAACATCATAGGCTGGACCCCTAAAACTTAAATTCTAAACCTAAATTCATCTAGAAGGGGACCACCCAATGTAAATGCATTGGCCGGGTTTGCACAACTGCACCAGCAAGATCCAACCAAAATAAGAGTAAACTTATATTTATTTTTGTGCTTAATATTAGTGTCTATCCATCTCATTTAATGTGTTTAATTTAATTAACTAAATTTAATTGAAGTTATTTTTAATTTAATGTTTCAAAATATTATATTTAGAAACTACATTAAAATCACTACTAAACAATAAAAAAATTAAATTTAAAAATAATTCAAATATATTAAAGAAAAATTAGTAAAAAAGAAAAGAATTGATTTGACTAGTAAATATAAACGTGACATGAAAAATGAGATAGAGTGTGTATTAAAGAACCATCACATACATCATTACATTTGTCACTTAAAATAGTCATTTCTAATATGACAATTGCATGTTTAGGTAGTTATTGTACGTTTGCGATTTGTAAGTGACAATTATAGTTATGGTTAGCATTTTTAATTATTAAAAGGTTAACACTGTAAATTTCATGATTAACTAAAATAATGTTTTGTGTTTTATGTAATAAGACTTTGTGAAGTATTGTAAGACTTTTTAGAATAATTTTTAATTCACTTTTTGTCACATTTTTAAAATCTCACTTTCTTCATATTTCTAAGAAATGTGAGATTTTGAGAGATGTGAAATAATTGAAAATATGATAACTTTGAACCAATCTTAACTATTTGAAAAATTTCAATTGTACCTTTAAATTGTAAAAAACTTCATATGAACCTCTAAACTTTTATTTTTATTATTATTATTTTTAAAATGAACTAGATCCCTTTTTTACTTGTAGATTACTTATTATTGTAATAAGTTATTAATGGCATGACACACTAACAATCCAAGGTAGGAGCAGAGTCTTCAGGGTTGGGATACAATCCTTTATTAATGGTATAACTTTCACATACAATATTAATTACTTGTTTGTATAAACGTTGTGTGTACTATTTTAATTTTAATTTTAAAAAAAAAAACTATTTTTTTTTATTGAAATTACAAAGAATGAAAGAAAGAAAGATACTCGGTTGTCTTTAGATTTAGACATCCGCGACGACCATTCGTTGTCAACACAACAACCATAACTAATATTTCATATGGAAGTCATGCCACCAATATCTTGGTTGCAATAATAGGTAAACTACAAGTAAAAGGATAATTTATAAATTTATTGCACTTTTTTAAATAATGGTTCAGGTGTTTATATGTAATTTTTTTCTATTTGGATAATACAATTAAGGTTATGTTTGGCAAACCTAGCTAAAAAGGTAGTTGAAAGTTGAAAAGTAATTTAAAGCTGAAATACTTATAAGCTAGAAGCTGAAAACTGAAAAGCTATATATTAAACTAGTTGATTACCTGATTATTCTTAAAAGTGTTTGGTAAAATTAGCTTTTTGAGAAGCTGATAAATATAAAGAGACTAAAAAGGACATCTTCTTAAAATTTATATAATTTTAAATTTAAATAGGTACAAGTATTTTCAAACCAAAACCTCATTGCGGAGAAAATAAAAACAAGAGGACATACAATTTGTAAACAAAGAACACAATGAATGTTTAGTTGCAAATAAAAAAAAAAAATCATACCAAGATCTAAAGCCAATGAATGTTTAGTTGTATATAGACTATAGTATATATATATATATACGAATCCTTAGATTGTTCTTCCTCTCTACAAATTTGCAGTCTCTATCTATCTCTCTCAGTATCTATGTATGCATACGAGAATCGGCGATGGTGGCGAAGCGGTGGAGGGAGGCTGTATATATATATTTCGCCAGAAGATCAATGGACTTATGAACGGACGATTGGAGTTTGAACTTTAAAAAGTTGCTGGGCGGTGAAGAGAGTTGCGAAAGATGATGTATAAAAATATAGGAGAAGAGAAAATGCTAGTTTTGATTGAGAGGAGTAAATAATGTCATTTATTTATAAAATAATAAGAATAAATATGAAAAAAAATTAGGAAGCTACTAGCTTATTTTTAAACACTACCTAAGGTACCGTTTCAAAATAAGTTCTTACTTTACTAGCTTATTTTAGGAACATTACTAATAGAGCTTATAGTTTATTAATAGCTTAAAATGAGATATAATAAACTCCTAAATAAATTCGGTCAAACAGAGCCTAAAACTTTATTAAATGGTTGAGAACTTATTTGATAAATTTCCCTATATAATAAGTTAGACAAATCTTGTATATCTTGTATATATGACATGCCAAACAACATGCAACCCTACATAAATGAGTGGTAGATTTTTTTTGGGGTGAATGTGAACTTTATTCCCAATAAACAAACATTTACAACTGAAACTAGGGCATACCCTAGTATGAGGACTATGTTGTAACCTCTAAGGAGGTTACGGCCCAAAAGCCCTATCACAAATGGAGCAGTCATTATATCGTGGAACCGCGGTGCATATACACCATAGTTAAAATGGCGCCGTTTTTTAAAGTAAAGAAACGGCACGTCGTTAGTGTTAACGGAACGCGTACTTTTTTGTATGTTAATTACCAACTGACACTACAATATATCAAAATTGACAATGCCTCACGTATTATTTTATATTATCAAATGAAAATGCAGTTATATAAAAATGATACTATAGTTGTGGTGAAATGAAACTGTAATGTATATAAAATGAAACTGAATAACATTTCACATATTTGAGTGTATATTGTACAATGAAGCTGTAATTATATCAAAATGATCATGTAGTTTTGTTTTAATAAAACTGTAGTTTATATAAAATAAAATTAAATAACATTTTCACATATTTGAGTCTATAAATATCAAATGAAACTGTAGATATATTGAAATGAAACTGTAATTGTGTTGAATTGAAACTGCAGTGTATACAAAATGAAATTGAATAACAGAGTTACTTTTTGCAAAAGGGTGCGGAACAACGGCAAACTGATGTCGTTTCTTTTCATTAATCAAAACAACATCGTTTTGATGCGCAGTGCATAATCGATTATGCACCACGTTGCACGATATAATTTGCCCAAATGGAGACAAAATTAATCTCCATATCCTAAAAAATTCCATTAATGAGCCAAACATATTAGGCCCAAACGGGAAGCCCAAACCCCATAACAGTCCCGGTCCAACTGCTCAAATATCAAAACAAATTACAACCCAACCAACTCATCTTTGTGATCAGTCAGAGTTTACCAAAAATGGAAATTCATGTCACGACAAATTATGTCGAATGAAACTATAGTTGTATTGAAATGAAATTACAGTGTTTACAAAAAAAATATTTGAGTGCTTCCTTTCAAAAAAAAATGCAGTGTTTACAAAATGAAACTGAATATGTTATACAATCAAAGTTACTTTTTTGTGGACGGCGCAGAACAGGTGCCGTTTCTTTTAATTAAAAAAAACGACACCGTTTTGATGCCGGGACGACAATGCATTGTGAATTGCGGTCCACAGTTCCGTAACAAATATGGTTACTTGTACTCCAAAATCCAAATGGACCAAATCTTGTTTACTTATGTTATATACTTATAGAGTTAATACCCAAAATCGTCCTCGACTATAGTAGTTTTTCTCAATTTCGTCCTAAACGACTTTGGTGACCTAATATCGTCCCAGACTTTTGTGTTTCGCTCAATTTAGTCCCAGACTTTTGTGTTTTTGCTCAATTTAGTCCCTCATTTGTTATTCTGTCCATTTGGTGTTAAATAAATTGACAATTCAGTAATTTTAATATTGGCATCTCTTTACTCATAGACAAGTGAAATGCGAAATCCTTTTTTTTTTTACGAATTTCTCCCAGAATTACTCCTACAACTGCGAATATAAAATTTGATTTGCAGGTCCGGGAGTAATTCTGGGTGTAATTCGTACAAGAAAGAGGAATTTCGCACTTCACAAGTTGAAAGTAAAGAGAGATCAATATTGACATTACTGAACTGTCCCTTAATTTAACACCAATTTGACGGAATAACAAATGGAGGACTAAATTGAGCGAAACGCAAAAGTCTGGGACGATATTAGGTCAAAAACTCACAACATAGAGTTAATACCCAAAATCGTCCTCGACTATAGTAGTTTTTCTCAATTTCGTCCTAAACGACTTTGGTGACCTAATATCGTCCCAGACTTTTGTGTTTCGCTCAATTTAGTCCCAGACTTTTGTGTTTTTGCTCAATTTAGTCCCTCATTTGTTATTCTGTCCATTTGGTGTTAAATAAATAGACAATTCAGTAATTTTAATATTGGCATCTCTTTACTCATAGACATGTGAAATGCGAAATCCTTTTTTTTTTTTTTACGAATTTCTCCTAGAATTACTCCTAAAACTGCGAATATAAAATTTGATTTGCAGGTCCGGGAGTAATTCTGGGTGTAATTCGTACAAGAAAGAGGAATTTCGCACTTCACAAGTTGAAAGTAAAGAGAGATCAATATTGACATTACTGAACTGTCCCTTAATTTAACACCAATTTGACGGAATAACAAATGGAGGACTAAATTGAGCGAAACACAAAAGTCTGGGACGATATTAGGTCACCAAAGTCGTTTAGGACGAAATTGAGAAAAACCACTATAGTCGAGGACGATTTTGGGTATTAACTCTATACTTATATATTTACTTATTTTTTAAATCTGATTTAAGTACATTATTTGTGTTCATACTTCATAGACACAAAATTTCACAACACAAGACACCGTAAATTCATAAGCATAATTACTAATTTGCTTTGGGTATAAAATTCATACTTGAAGTAAAGAATTTTATAACACAAAACATAAAAAACTCACAACATAAGATACATGCACATACACCAAAGTCCACAGTGCACTGTAAAATCTGGTCCATAGTGTATAAGGATTGTGAATTGTGATGCTGGTGATACTAGGAGGAACAACGACGTACCATCATCTTCAGACCAAGCAACATCAGGAACAAGACAGGAAGAAATGGCCTCTGATTTGATCTTAAGTTGGCGTTTTCATGGAAGAGGATATGTGGCGGTTTCATGAGTTAACTGTCTGTAGACACTTAAATTTTGATAAATATTGATTATTTATCAATATTAGTATATTTGAATATATTTGAAATATTTTGGATAATATTGATATTATCTAATTTGTTAATTAGATAATATCAAAAGAGTTTGAGCTTATCAAAACTCTCTATCCTACAGCTATAAATAGGAGCTCTCATTTGTATGTAATCACACACATCCTAGGAAAAGTGATGTAAACATCTAGAAAAATATTATTCAGGATCACATAAAAATGTGATACTGAAAGTAGAAGTCCCTCCTCCTTAATGATCATGCCTATGCCTATTGATCCAAACCTCCATTGAAGATCAAGCCATTTGAATCCGGAGGCCCTTCAAGAAGAACACGCTATATATTCAAGCCCTTCTTTGAAGATCAAGCCACTTGAAACCCGGAGGCCCTTCAATGCTGGAGTGTTCAAGACATCAATTAAAGAATCAGAGGATCATCCAGAGACTTGTACCCACACCCCTTGATACTTGATATGTAAACCAGAACTTTGAATTTCTAAATATATATTCAATTTTCTTTGTTTACACTGTCATCATCATCTTGTCATGGATTTTGAAGGTTTTATCACTTCGCAATTACTATTGCCGCCGCAGCAATGATTTGGTTTAACTTTAAGAATCTAAGATATTCTGATTGGAGATGTAACATCTCCTAATATGTACGAGCAGGAATGGAGGCAGGATTAGGCGGATTGAAGAATGAATAATTAAAAATATTAATATTCATTTAATATATTTTAAAATACATAATTACATTACAAATCTATTAAAATTTAAAATGTTTTTATATATCACGGAAATCATTTATAATTGAATCTATATTAAATTATTTTACAATTTTCTTTTCAATATATACTAACAAACAATCATTAAGAAATTGATCATCCATCTTTGTTGTGAGGTCATGACAGAAAAAAACTTAAATTCTGTATTCTTTAACCGGATCGTTTTTGGTTCATCAACCGGCGGCCGTGTTGGTCGGCGGTAGCGGTGGATTTACGGCGGTTGACGGATGGTGGTATTCCGTATTTATTGTCCGATAGGGAGGCAGTATATATGTTGGGAATTGGGATAACTAACTTAATTGCCAGTTTTCCAAAAAAAAAAAAAAAAAAACAAGTTGCGCTATTTTCTTATTATTTGACCTTTTTAGAACCCTAACTCATTACCTTTTTGGTCCATCTTATATTATCAGTCCAAACCATTTATTTTGACCATTCACGGAACCGTACCCACCTAACTTGAAAATTGAAAAACTAATCATTAAACAGTTAGGAACAGAAGTACTAATTAACGGATTGAGATAATAAGTGCAGTGTTTAGGCAGGGAGTAAATAATGAGATATATAACACGTACTCCATAAATTCAACAAACAGAAGTAGATAAATATAGTAATACAAATAGTTTTCACAAAAAAAAAAAAGTAATACAAATATGATCTGATCTGTGATTGTATAGCAGCAGCGTTATGAAAAGTATAATGAAAATTAGGGGTAGGAAATTCAAGGTTTTGACCCGGTTAACCCGATTCCGGTCGGATTCGACCGTTAATGGGTGAACTCGAACCACTTGCACTCACCCTTAAGATTCGACGGATAACCGGTTGAACTTGACCCTGATTTGTGCCTACCCCTAATGAAAATGATCCTTGCCTTGCCTTAGATTCGACGGTTAACCGGTCGAACTCGAACCCGACCTGTGCCCACCTTCATTCTAGCTTGAACCGGGTGCCTCGAACCCGAACCGGGCGGTAATCAAAATCGGAAGCGAGAAGAAGCCGCCGACGATCTCCATGAGCTGCTGGGCTTTGCTTTCGTGGTTCGTCCATTAAGAGTCGGCTTTGGTGAGAATCTAGTAATCTCCGACGCCGGCGATCTCCATGAGCCGTTGGGCTTTGCTTTCGTGGTTCCTCCATTAAGAGTCGGCTGTGGTCATTCCGTCCAGAATCTGGCGCCGGAGTCGCTGGACTTTGCTCCGATAAGAGGTACCTGTGGGCATTCCGTCCAGAATCTGGGGCCGGAATCGCTGGACTTTGCTCCGATAAGAGGTACCTGTGGGCATTCCATCCAGAATCTGGGGCCGGAATCGCTGGACTTTGCTCCGATAAGAGGTACCTGTGGGCATTCCGTCCAGAATCTGGGGCCGGAATCGCTGGACTTTGCTCGGATAAGAGTTCCCTGTGGGCATTCCGTCCAAAATCTGGCGCCAGAATCGCTGGATTTTCCTCCGATAAGAGTTCCATGCTCTTCCGTATTTCGTCCATCAAGATTTTCCTGCGGTCATCAAAACCAGAACCTAACCCCCAATCTCCATGAGCCACTGGGCTTTGCCTTTGTTGAGTGTGGATCAATAGTCGCCGGCAGTGATGGATGGAGACATCTGCAGAGGAGCTAATCAAATATTGGGCCACTGTTAGAATGAAGATGAAGATGATGAGGAGAGAGTGGGTGTTACGCATTTTTTTTCTTCTTCTGAGAATCTGAGATACTCTTACAGCAGATATATAACTATATTTCATGGACATTCTCATCATTTACTTTTATTCAAAGGCGGTAGCGTTTTTTTTATTTTTTTTAATTCCTTTCCAAAAAAAAACCTCTTTCTAGTCTCCACCGCCTTTGAAATTGGCATCGGTCGGCCCCACCGACTAATCGGTATGTTTATAATTATGTCATATCAGATGTTAAGAGAAAATTTCAATTTTGGTCCATTGATTATTTGGGTTGTGTTAATTGCAACACTTGACTTTCAAAAATGTTTATTTAGTACCTTGACTATGCAATTTCTATCAATTTTAGTCACGTCGGCCAAATTATCGGCCAAATCTCACCGGAAAAATTTAATAGGTCAATTTATGAGGGTATTTTAGTAATTTTACTCCTCCTTTTTCTTCTCCGATGAGCTTTTCCATTTCCGGCGAGTTTTTTCTCCATTTCCGGCGATGTTCTTCAGCCGGCGCTGTCAGAAACTACGGTCGATTTTGTGTTGGCCAGATCAAGTGCACTTTATTAATTGTATTGCTGTGCTGCAAATGCTATCTTTTAGAATTGTTATTTGAATTGGGTTTTGTGTTGGTTTTAAAATACCGTAAACTAGGATATATCTAGAAGAACCACCGGCCAAAAGATAGATCTGGAAGGATTAAGACTTCGTTTAGGCGTATGGTACGAGGAATTCGATCCCCAAATTCAGATATTATTGACAGCACTAATATATACAGTCGCCGGAAATGGAGAAGAAACTCGCCGGAAATGGAAAAGCTCATCGGAGAAGAAAAAGGGGGAGTAAAATTACTAAAATAGCCTCATAAATTGACCTATTAAAATTTTCCGGTGAGATTTGGCCGGCAATTTGGCCGACGTGACCAAAATTGATAGAAATTGCATAGTCAAGGTACTAAATAAACATTTTTGAAAGTCAAGTGTTGCAATTAACACAACCCCAATAGTCAGTGGACCAAAATTGAAATTTTCTCCAGATGTTAATTCAATCCAAGTAAGTAGGGTACGATACTTTATAGCTGGTGTTCTGGATGGTAATGGCTTATGGCCGTATGGGAACAAGATTTAGCGATTGGCCTATAAGTGGGGGTCAAAATGTTACAAATTTATTGTTTTTGAAGGTCAGAGTGTAATTTTTAATGCAGATGTGGTTTGCCTATTGAAGTTGGAAATTTATAGTCCAGTACTATTGTATAGAGACTTGTCTTATATCAAGGTTGGTTTTGAGGGTGGTTGTGATGGGCACCCGTTCTGAGCTCGACATTGAAAGGGATTTAGATTTGATTTTTTATATTTTGATAGAGTTAAAAAAATGTTTGTATATATAAAAATTGACAGTTGTTAATTTGTTATATTATGGACTAAGCAATGCAGACCAGATCTAAAATATACGATTTACATACTTAATGTTCACAATTTACATACTAAATATTCATAATTTATCTTTTATAAAATTATGAACATTTAGTATATAAATTGGATATTTGAACTCGAGTCCACAGAATAATTTATCAAAGATTTGAATCAATGAATTCAAAATTATTTATTAGTTTTAAATTTACTTAATAATTACAATAATTTGATATACGTATCTCCGTAAATAGATATATATTAGCGAGCATTAAATTAATTTATAATTACACTTTATATAAGGACTCAAAGTTCAAATGACAATACTCAAAAGCTATTTTAATTTTTTTAATAACAAATTATATATTTACAAAAATTTAAAATTATTATTTAATTATTTTCAATTAACCTATACCATCTTTTAATTTTATTTATTAAAAATCCTTATTTTTATTTTGCTCCAAACCTATCATTTGATTTAGCCTAGTTTTATATTAGGCCATCCCCAATAGGGGGATTTTGCACGAGATTTAAGAAAAAAGTGAGGATGTGGAAGGGAGAGGAGAGAGGAGAGAGAGGGATGAATTGCTTGCAGTAAGTTGGGGATTTTGGTCGGGAATGGGTCCCACATAATTATTGTTAGGCACTTGTTTAGCGCGTTGGGCACAAATTGTGGCTATCTCCATTTTTTTTGTTTCAGATGGGTGCAAAGTGACTGACAAATCAGAATAAGCGCGTGAGCACTTTTTTTTTTCCTCATTTTTTTTGTTTTCTTTTATTTTTTTTTTCTTTTTCCCTCTTCTACTATTTTCTCTCTCCTAATCACACCTGCAAAATCCCCTCAAAAACTTACCACTATTGAGGATGCCCTTAGTAGAATCTTTCCATGGAACTAGTCAGCGATACTAAAATCTTTTCCCAATCACTTTTTTTCCTCGGGACTAAAATTCTAGGAAGTACATGTGGCTGAAGACAGGAAAGTGGGTGGAAGGTGTGGACTGTGAAGTTACCACTACCTTTTTTTTTTTTTTTTTTTTTAAAAAAAAAAAAAAAACAGTAGGTGCAAAATGCATGACAAAATGATTTGTCCTCATCTTTATTTGTAATGTGAATATGTGATAATTGATTGTAATGTGTAGAGATTAATATTTTTATTTCTTTTTATTATAATCAATAGGTGCAAATGCATGACAAAATGCGATATAATAAGTATAAGAGTAAAAGACATTTTTGGTCCTAGACTTATAGTGACTTGGACAATTTTAGTTCTTTATAAAAAAATTTGTCATTTTATGGACAGAGTTATTGTGGCGAGGACATTTTTGGTCCTCCGTCTATATTTTTGTTAGATAACCGTCTGAGAGAGGGGTAATTACGTCAATTTAGGCTATCTCCTTCAATCTATTATATCTATGTGTGTTTTGTTTTCTTCTCGGTCATAATTCGAAGGAGTCGAAGAGTCCAAATTGCAGTAAAGGCATGGTTGTGGGCAGAGCATTTCGTAGTGCAAAACTACAAATAAATGAGGGTCAGAGTAAAGGCATGGTTGTGGGACCAAAATCGTCCATCTCACAATAAAGAGATACCTAAATTGACGTAATTGCCCCTCTCTCATACGGTTATCTAACAGAAATATAGACGGAGGACCAAAAATGTCATCGCCACAATAACTCTGTCCATAAAATGGCAAATTTTTTTATAAAGGACTAAAATTGTCCAAGCCACTATAAGTCTAGGACCAAAAATGTCTTTTACTCTAAGTATAAATAAAGGTTGGTACTCTTTATTTATGTCTGTTTTTCTATTTTTTTTATACATTAATAAAAATTGTACTATATAATTTTTTGAACAACAATGCTCCTACCGTTATAACTTTCGTTATATATTTTCATTATTGTTACCACACACTTACATTCACCATATATTTTCTTCCATTCTTTAATAATAATAATAATAATAATAATAATAATAATAATATAGAACAAATTACACTTTGGGTCCTGTGAGTATTAGGGTACTGGCAATTTGAGTACAGGACTTTCAAAACTCTCAATTTAAACCTTTATCTATTCATTTTTTGGCAGTTTTGGTCCTCCGGACCAAATTGCCGGCCAAAATTGGCCGGAAAATTATTTAATCGTTCGAATTGTTTTTGGGTGAGGGTAAAAACGTCATTTGTTATTGTATTTGGGGGGAAAACACCTTCCGGTCTTTTAGTCAACAACACCACTTGCAATTTGGGGGGAAAGCAACGAATTTGGGGGGAAAATCCAAAGAACTTCATCTTCCACTACTGGAGCAGCGATTGTGTGAAGTGGTCTGGAGCTTCGATTGTGGACATCATCTTCTGGGTTTGGAGAGGGCGAGCTTCATCATCTGCGACTGGAATGGGTCTACAACTACGTAAGAAATTTTTTTTTCGGAGTTTAAATGTGAAGAAATTGAAAGTGTCTGAGCGTATTTGTTGTTTGGGTTGCCTATTTTTTGTGTGTGTGGAGTTGAATGCAAGTTTCTGCATATCTAGGGTTTTGTCCTGGGCTTTATATATGCATAGAATAGGGTTATGTAGTGTTGTTTTGTTCTGCGGGGACCACCACTAAGTTTCTGCAAGTATTATTGTGTTGTGTTGTGTTGTGTGGGCACCACCACTATACTAATACTTTTGTCAAGATTCCATGTGCATAAACTGGGAGTTGGAGCAATTTCTGTATACCTTTATTGCTTTGTGGTCTGTGGGGTCCAGTATGTTGACTATTGTATGTGTAAATGGTTTCTTTACAGGGGATGGAGTTGGTCCTTTTTCTGTTTGCCTTTTCCATAATGGAGTAATAAATAGGGTAGGTGAGGTTAAATATATGGGTGGTGATGTAGAGGTTTATGACAGAATGGAAGCTAGGGAAATTTGTTTACAAATGTTGAAGGATATGATTAAAAATTTAGGGTATAGTGAAGTAGGAGCACTAATATATTGCCTTTCCAATGATGGTTTGAAGTTGCTGCAATCTGACATGGATGTAATAACAATATTGAATGAGGACAACCCAGGCAATATGTTGGAGTTTTGGGTTGAAACAATGGATGAGGTGGACTTGGTTGATGCTGATATGGAAGTACTGGAGACAGAAAGTGATTGGGAAAATGCAATTGAGGTAGAGTGTTTGAAGGTAGAAGAGCAGGTTGCAGAACAGCAGAAGGTGGCAGAAAAGCAGAAGGCTGCAAATGCAGAAGCTAGAGCTGTGGATGATGCTTTTGTGGAAAATAGGAAAACAAAAAAAGTTAAGACCAATGATGAGGTGGAAATTAAGTTTTCAGATGAGGAGTCAATTGTTGATTCTGATAGTGATGTTGAGGGTAAGTGGCCTATATTTAGAGCTGCAACAGACATGAAGGACCCACAGTTTAGGTTAGGAATGACTTTTGCATCTAAACAACAGTTTAGAGAGGCTGTGCAAAATTATGCTTTCAATAATGGCAAAGAGATTAAAACTCTGAAAAATGACAAGGAGAGGGTAATTGTTAAATGTACACAGGAGGGGTGTCCTTGGAGAATAGGGTTGAGGAAAGTACTTGGTTCAATGACATGGAGGATTTTGAATATGACAGATGAACATGAAGGCTGTAGTTGGGTATGGGAAAATGGTATGGTTAAGTCTAATGTGGTGGCTAAAAGGTGGTTAACTGAATTGCAAGACCATCCTGATTGGATGATGAGGAAGTTCAAGGATAAGGTGTGCAGTCAGGAGGGTTTTTATGTTAGCAATTCACAGGCCTATAGGGCTATTTGGAAGGCAAAGAAGCTAAGGCAAGGTAAAGTGGAAGATACCTTTAAGAAGATATGGAGTTATAAGGCAGAAATAGAAAGAACAAACCCCAAGACAACCTGTCCTGTAAAACTCAGTGACCTAACTGATGAAAGTGGCAATTCTAGGTTTTTGAGAATGTATGTGTGTTGGGAAGCTAGCAAGCAAGGATTCAAGCACTGTAGAAGAATAATAGGTTTAGATGGGTGTCACCTTAGAACTGAAACTGGTGGGATGCTACTAACAGCTGTTAGTATTGATGGCAATGATAGTATATTTCCACTAGCATATGCTATTGTGGAAGGGGAGAAAAAGGAATCTTGGACATGGTTTCTACAACTTCTGAAAACTGATTTGGAAATAACTAGAGGTGTTGAGGATGAATATTGCTTCATTAGTGATAAACAGAAAGGGTTGATTCCTGCATTTGAGAGTGAGCTACCTGGTGTGGAGAATAGATTCTGTGTGAGGCACCTTCATGCAAATATGAAGGTGGCAGGTTTCCAAGGAAAGGCCCTTAAGGACTGCCTGTGGGCTTGTGCTAGGGCAACCACTTTGAATGCATTCAATGTTGAATTAAGTAAACTTAGGGGCTTAGATGAAGATGCATACCAATGGCTTGGTGATAAGAGTCCAACAGAGTGGTCTAGATCTCACTTTTCTACACAGTCTCATTGTGACATGTTGGTTAATAACATCTGTGAGTCATGGAATGGATCTATAAGGGATGCAAGGGACAAACCCATTATTGAATGTCTTGAAATACTAAGGAAAATGTTGATGGGCAAGTTCTTTGAGAAAAGACAAAAAGCTGCAGAGTGGAAAGCCTTGCTATGTCCTGCAATTGTGAGAAAGCTTAAGAAAATTGAGAAGGATGCATCAACATACCATGCAACACAATGTGATTTCCATAAGTTTGAAGTAAGCCATTTATATGGGGATCAACAAGAGGTTGATCTGGAAGCAAAAAAGTGTTCCTGTAGGGTTTGGGACCTAACTGGCATTCCATGCAAACATGCCATTTGTGCTATATGGAAAAAGCATGGAAAGGGTTCAGTTACTGACTATGTCCATCCCTGCTACTCCAAAGAGACCTACTTGAAGGTATATGGTGGTTGTATCAACCCTATGACAGGTCCAGATGATTGGCCACAATGTGACAGAACCCCACCATTGCCTCCTTTGTATACTGCCAAGGTATATATGCTTTGCCTAGTCATTAATGTGTTCTTATTCTATTCACTTTATCTTGACTAAATTGATTTGCAGGTTGGGAGGCCCAAAAAGCAAAGGGCAAGGTCAGCTGCTGAATTGACAATAGATGGAAAGTATGTGTCCAGACAACACATTCAGTTACATTGTGGACTGTGCAGGCAACCTGGCCACAATGCAAGGAAATGTCCTACAAATCCAAATAAAAAGGTTTACTTTGTGGCCTCTCATTAGATATTCAACTACATTTCCTAGTTTTGGTGTATTATGCCTGAGTTTACTTATCATGTTTCTTTGTTTTTTCCCAGTTGAAGCCAAAAAAAAGATTCATCTATAGTGCAAGACAAATCCCCATCCACCTTCCTTCAGGGCACAACCAGCCTCATGAGGGTGTAGCTGAGACAGAAGACCACTTTCCCTCTGGTGACCAGCAGCAGCAGGAGCTAGATGACCTACCAGCAGCACAGCAGCTAGATGAGCAGGACCAAAGCCAATCCAAGGACAGTAAGGGCAAAAGGAAATTGAGGCCCTCCAATAGGAAAAAACCCTATTATACCAGGAGCAAGACCACCTTCAAATCCAAGTTCTTTGGAAATAAGGGTGAACCAATTGACCTTGAGTGATTGCCAACTAGGTGCTTGTTAGGTTGCCTTATGATTGTGTTTTGAAACATGATGGATAAGTTAAGGTCTTAATGGTTTTTGTTGTTTTGTTTAAACTGTGTTTTTGTTGTGTTAGCTGTTTTGTATCAAACTAATCAATGTACACTGCTTTTTTGTGAATGGTAATGCAGCATGTGATTTCCATAAGTTTGTCCAACATACATATCCAACCACAATTCATACATGAATGGTAATGCAGGACCAAAAGCCTGGAATTCATTCAGTAACATATATATCCAAAAACCAAGACTAATTCCTTAATGACCAAAACCAACCACAATTCATACATGAACAAAACCAACCACAATTCATACATGAACAAAACCAACCAAACTACATACATTACCAAACCCTACTACCAACTACTGCTACAAATAACACAATCAAGACTACTAACACCTTGTTCATGGACTTCAAACCTTGTTCACTTCTAAGTTTCGAATTCAATTTTCGTATCTCTTCATCTTGTCGGTTGATGCGTTTTAGCAATCCTGGAATTATTCGCTTTGAACGATAGCACATTGGAGTATCATACCAATCAATAAAACCACATCCCACCTTCCTCTGCAATAATAAACAAAATGCAAAACAAAACTGTGATTAAAGTAATTCCTAAAACAGAAAATATCTAGAAATTTGATGTTCATAAATTAGGGTTTGAAACTAATTTAAACAACACAAAAAAAAAAAAACCCAAATTGAGCATTTCGTAGGTATACACAAAAATTAGACTTTCAAAAGTAATTAACTTACATTACCACCCACGCATTGCCAAAATCTACGACCTGGGTTCTCAGCTGTCCATGAAGTGCGTATCTTCAGTTGCTCACCACACCTACAATGGACAATTGGAAACCTTTCCCCAAATTCATAAAACTCGTTGCCATGATTAGAAGAAGAAGATGATGAATACGAATTAGCCATTGATTGCAAGCGGAGGAGGTCGAGCAGGAGTGCAGACGCCGTCGAGGAAACCGGTCGGAAGGTGGAGTAATAAATACGCCGTCGAGGAAACCGTCGAGCAGCCGTCGAAGACAATCTCCCTCTGGTGACCGTTTTTTAGCCCAACACGAGGTGGTCCCCAAATAAATACAATAACAAATGACGTTTTTACCCTCACCCAAAAACAATTCGAACGATTAAATAATTTTCCGGCCAATTTTGGCCGGCAATTTGGTCCGGAGGACCAAAACTGCCAAAAAATGAATAGATAAAGGTTTAAATTGAGAGTTTTGAAAGTCCTGTACTCAAATTGCCAGTACCCTAATACTCACAGGACCCAAAGTGTAATTTGTTCTAATAATATATGTATGTAGATATTATATTATAATATGTAAGAAATAAATTTGATTTTATTTACATTTTAGTTTTTTTTTTTTTTTGAATGTTACACAATATCATTACGCATGTTCCAAATAGCCGCCATTTTGATAGCACAATCAACATCTTGAGAAGCCAATATATAATCTCCCATGCTTGACAAGCGGTAGGCCATCAAAATGTTATTAGATTCCCATCCTTGACATGTTCAACCGTTTCGTATGCATGGTTACAAAACACACAACCACCCCCCCCCCCCCCACCCAAACATGCTTGGTCTTCAGAGTTTCTTTAAACGGAATGATATCTCGCATACACCGCCATAAAAAGGATGGGAATATAGATTGTATAGTATTGATTCTATTGAATACCAAAGTCTGAGAGTATAGATATATACAGACACGAAATAGAGTTTTAGTCTAATACTAATAATGTAGTCCTAATACTTCTCTCAAGTACAAGGTTGGCTAGCCAAAACTTTGAATTTGTGACGGAGTGAATTAAAACGTACAGACGAAAGAGGTTTAGTAAAAATATCGCTATATGATCTTTGGTTGAAATAAAGTGAACTTGCAACTCCTTCTTAGCCGCTTTATCGCGAACGAAGTGATAGTCGATCTCAATGTGCTTCGTGCGAGCATGAAACACAGGATTATCACATAAGTAAGTGGCTCCCAGATTGTCACACCAGAGTTTAGGCGCAGAAGTAGGAGAAATATCAATCTCCTTCATCAGAGAGACGAGCCAAGTGACCTCAGCAGAAACATCAGCCAGCCCCTTGTATTCAGCTTCAGTCGAGGAACGAGCCACAATGCGATGTTTGCGACGTACCCAGGAGATAAGATTGTTCTCCAAAAACACCGCAAAACCACTGGTTGACTTCCGGTCATCCGGATCACCAGCCCAATCCGCATCAGAATATGCATGAATGTCAAGACAGGCAGACGATGACATATGAAGACCAAGATTGAGTGTCCCGTTAACATACCGTAACACCCTCTTGAGTGTTGCCCAGTCAGTAGTAGTAGGAGAATGCATGTGCTGACACAGACGATTGACTACATAAGATAGATCAGGACGAGTTACCATAAGATACTGTAGAGCACCTGCAAGACTGCGATACTGAGTGGGGTCAGCATACGGCACCTCAGCACCACTCACGGCTTTGGTGGTTGAAATAGGCGTGGACACGGGCTTGCAATCCACCATACCTGCTCGCTTGAGAATATCATTCATGTACCGCTGCTGAGATAAGAGCATGCCCCCAGATAATGGAACAGTCTCAATACCCAAAAAAAAGAGGAAGGCACACCCATGTCACGAACTTTAAACTCAAGTGCCAATTTATTAATAAGAGTAGCCACATGATTTGAATCAGAACCCATAACTAAAATTTCATCCACATAAACCAGAAAATATAACCGAGAATTGCCATGCGAATAAACAAATAAGGAGACAACAGTTTTGGAAGGCAAGAAGCCCACAGAAACCAGAAAATCATATAGCCGTGTGAACTAGGCACGAGGTGCTTGTTTAAGCCCATATAGAGAACGCTGAAGCAAGCACACATGTCCGGGCATCGTTTTGTTCCCATAGCCAGGCGGCTAGCGCATATACACAGTCTCGGTCAAGTGGTCATTCAGAAAAGCATTGTGGATGTCCAACTGACGAATAGTCCTTCCACGAGAAATTCCTAAGGATAAAAGAAGACATACCGTGGTCGGCTTAACCACAGGACTGAAAGTCTCAAAGAAGTCCTCCCCAGTAACCTGATTAAAACCCTTGGTAACTAACCGAGCTTTGTGCCGCTCAATTGAACCATCAAATTTTCTCTTGGTTCTAAACACCCACTTGCAACCAACCACATTCATACTGATTCAAAAGGGACAAGCCGACATGTATTATTATGTACCAGTGCATTAAATTCTAAGTCCATCGCATCCCGCCATTCGGAATATTTAACCGCCTGAGAGTAACAGGTAGGCTCAGCAGTCACGGTAGTGTTTAATGCAACATGCTCATACTGCCCCATGCTTCGTGTTGCCATGACATGAGATCGACCACTCGTAGAGGAGACCGCACGGTGAGACCGGCCACGGGGCCGACCACGCTGCCGGGCAGCCGACTACTCCGTCACTGTCCGCTCGGTGGATACGGACTCGGCAAGGGCAGCAAGCTAGCGAGGCGAGACCGCGGGTTTGGTGATGGGCAGGGCTGTGGCGTCGTCCATATCATCAACAGCAATTACGTGCGCAACCGCCCATGGTTCCGGACTTGGCGTGACAACCTGCGAATCAACAAGATCAGCAATAGGAAAAATAGTCTCATCGAATCGTACATGGCGACAGATAAAAACCTTGTTAGTGTTAGTGTCTAAACAACGATAGTCATGGAAGGACGGAGGATATCCAAGAAAGACACAGGGAGAAGACCGAAACTGTAATTTGTTGCGATTATAAGGTCGCAGATTTGGAAAACATAAACACCCAAACACCCGCAGATAAGAATAGGAAGGAGGAGACCGGTGCAGGAGATAATGAGGTGATTTATCAGATAAGACACGAGTGGGTATTTTATTAATTAAGTACACAGCGGTTTCAAACTCATAATCCTAGAAACGAGACGGGACAGATGCCCGAGCCATCAAAGCCAGACCCGTTTCAACATGTCGATGCTTGCGTTCCACCTTGCCATTTTGCTCATGAGTGTACGCACATGATTGCCTGTGAAGAATACCCAGAGAAGCCAGTGTGGAACTAAGCTTTTTATACTCTCCCCCTAAATCAGACTGAAAAGAAAGAATTTTATGGGAAAAGGAACGTTCAATAAGCGGCCGAAACTTATCAAATATGGCATATAACTTAGATTTAGCACGCATAGGATAATACCACATGTAACGAGTGTAGTCATCCACAAACAATACAAAATATTTAAAGTCATTCGCAGAGATTAATGGCGTAGGGCCCCAAATATCATAATATATTAATTGTAAAGGGTGCGTACTAGTAGTTTCAACACGAGATAAAGAAAAACGAAACGATTTTCCCAATTGAAAAGAGGAACAAATATTAGGAAGATCACTAGAATTAAAAGTACTATGAGACGAAGACCCTAAAATCTGACGTAAAACCCGGGAGTGAGGATGCCCGAGCCACATGTGCCAAACGAAAGAAGACCGTGCAGCAACAAAGGCAGCCGGAGCTGGACGCGAAGTAGGCCAAGAATAGAGACCCCCGACCGCATGCCCTTTAAACAAAGTTTTCCTGGTTGTAATGTCCTTCACAAAGAAACACAAAGGGTGAAACTCAAAGAAAACATTATTATCTTTAGCAAAACGCTGAACAGACAATAACGAGGAAGATAAGCCAGGAACATGCAAGACATCACACATCCTAAAAGACCAAGAAGTAGTATTGTGTGTGCAAATGCGATTGATCTAGATTGGTCTAGGTGATATTGTGAGATCAAATCTTGTACATCAATCTAATAAATTTGTATGGTCTAGATTGATCTAGATTAAGTGTGTGCGAATGCGATTAAATATGTGCGAGCGCGATTGATCTAGACCATTAAAATTTATTAGATTGATGCACAATCTCACCTAAATAGGTGATCTCATAGGACCCCCCCCCCCCCTCTATATATATATATATATATATATATATATATATATATATATATATATATATATATATATATATATATATATATATATATATATATATATATATATATATATATATATAAGGGATTAGGTGCTGGTGGTGCTTCCCGTGCGATTGTGCGGGTGGACTCACATTAAGCATTACACTGATGCACTTTAAGTACACAACACACGCACATTAAACACACAAACAAAATACATTCAAAACACAAACTCATGCACTTTAAACACAAAACTCACGCACCTTAAGCACAAAAAGACACGCACCTTAAGTTTTAACAACAACTCATATTAAGTACACACTCACGCACATTAAGAACAAAACTCCCGCACCTTAAGCACAAAACTCACGCATATTAAGCACAAAACTCGTGCACTTTAAAGTTTCAACAACAACCGACATTAAGTACACTCACGCACATTAAGCACAAAACTCACGCACCTTAGGCACAAGACTCACGCACCTTAAGTACAAGACTCACACACATTAAGCATTACACACTCACGCACATTAAGCACAAATCTCACGCATCTTAAACACAAGACTCACACACATTAAGTACAAAACTCACGCACATTAATCACCTGCATAACCGTACAGGAGACACTTACCTGCACTGAAAGTTAATTATATATATATATATATATATATATATATATATATATATATATATATATATATATTATAATAATAATAATAATAATAATAATAATAATAATAATAATAATAATAATAATAATAATAATAATAATAATAATAATAATAATAAAATTAGTAAGCCGGAGTCGGTCGAGTTAGGGAGAAATCGCCACGGTCTAGGGGCGCCTAGGCGGCCGCTTTGGCCAATTTATATTGACAAAATTTTAAATGTGTCATTGAATATATATATGTTGACGTTTTATATGTTGTTATCTTTGTCATGTATTATGTTATTGGTGACGAATATTATGAAATTCTTCCAAAAGAATCTACTATTAAATTCAAAATGCATCAATAAATATTATGTTTTCTTGTGGTTGTAAATATTTTTATATGTTATACATGTATTAAAACTAACTACAAAAAAATGTACAATAATATATAATTAATAAATTTGATATGACTAGCAATAAAATATTGTAACATCGTATTGAATTACAAGGATATATATATATATATATATATATATATATATATATATATATATATATATATATATATATATATATATAGCTAGTTAAAACTAAGTGTTCTAATAGATTTGCTAACAACTACAATACAATAGATCGATATTAAAAAGAGCATTGATTTAAACTTGGGAATTGAAACTTCCAAGTTCTCCATAAGCTAGTTCCTTTCACCGATAGGGAAAAACACAAGGTAATATGGCATTAACTACTTCATTAAGCAAAAAGTATAAATAGCGATGATATGTAATATAACGTTGCAAAATGTTATGTTTTGTGACGCTTTAATTTTTATACTATCCTTAATTCTTTCGTTGCCAAATGTCATATTTCTTGTAGAATTAGCTCACAACTAGTGTTGTCTCGTTTGACTTCGTAAAGTCAAAAGACAATATAGCGGATCCGCTAACCAAAGGGTTAGGCAAAGAAGTTGTGGAGAAGCTGACACGAGGAATGATCTAAAATCCTTGGTATAAAGTTCTATAGTGGATACCCAACATAGCTGACACCTATGTTAAATGGGACAACTAAATTATGGAACTAAGCGTGTCACTGTGGAGGTCTCGGACTCCCTACTACTCCTCGTTAGAACAGTGATTCCCGTACGAGGTCATACATTGATGCTTTAATGATTTGAATGTTGATTGACATGTGTGAGTATGCGGAATATTAATACTCAGAAAAGAATCACCTATGTGAGAGAGAAGTGAGGGTCGCTTCAAAGGAGAATTGAATATGACTCAATTCTTTAGAAAGTCTTGCAAAACCAGGAACGGTGACCCACGATCAAAACGGGCACAATCATGAGAATATATCAGAGCGTGATTGGGAGGTTCTTGTATGGGATATACCACAATCTATACAAACGATAGTCGGTTCAAAGACATCGCGTTCTACCGTACAGCCAGTAGAGTAAATATATCTTCACAAGAGAAGGTTCAAAGGGTAACACCTACCTATCACTATGCAGAGATGGACATTTGAACACAGTTGTTTCCGATTTCAAAACAACCCTGAAATTCAATTTTTCATTCATGTGGGGGATTGTTGGAAAAATAGCATAAAATGACATTTTAAGTGGCTATTTTGTAGTACAATTATTAGTGGGTCCACTTCCGATTCGGGTCGGGTTAAAGTGAGTTCGGATTTTTCGTAGTGAGACGAAGAGTTTGATATATTGTACTTTCAAAATGGATAATGGATGAATGAGAAATTGATTCTCAAAGTACACCTATTTGAGTTGGGAAATGAAGGGGAAAAAAACTTTAAAGTAGCTTTTGTCCCACATGGTTTAGGAAGTGGGTTTGCATCACTATTTATACAAGAGTCTTTCTAAGACTTCTTAAATTGTATAACATTGTAGTATGTTTTATCCTAAGAAATCTAAGGGAGTATTTCGCTCTACTCGAATTAACCACCTACCTAAATAATCCTTTGTGCTTGTTAATTTCCCAAAAATATTATTTCCTAACAACTTCTTGATCCTTCTTTCCAGCAAGTTTTGGTCTTCCGGCGACCTGGTTTCATGATAAGCTTCTAAGTACACACCTGGTTTCATGATAAGCTTCTAAGTACACACTTTTTAACAAGCAAATACTAAGTTGTCTTTCTCCCCAACCGACTATATTTCTTATGAATATAATATTAAAACACTGCATGTGCATACAATACATGTCATTGTCACTCGAAGTGCCTTTCTAATTTCAATGGGCGGTTCAGTAAATGCTTGATCACCATTGATTTTTAAGATTTTTTTTAATAGAAGAGGGAGGTTGGAGGAGAGGCCGGGAAGAAAACGAATTTGCAGTATGTTGAGGGGTGGTGCACCGCGCGTCAGACACTACAATGTATCTAAATCGACACTGGCTCACGTATTATTTTTATATTATCAAATGAAACTACAGTTATATCAAAATGATACTGTAGTTGTGGTGAAATGAAACTACAGTATATATAAAATGAAACTGAATAACATTTCACATATTTGAATGTATATTGTACAATGAAGCTGTAATTATATTCAAATGATCATGTAGTTGTGTTTTAATGAAATTATAGTGTATATAAAATAAAATTAAATAACATTTTCACATATTTGAGTGTATAAATATTGAATGAAACAGTAGTTATATCGAAATGAAACTGTAGTTGTGTTAAACTGAAACTGCAGTGTATACAAAATGAAACTGAAGAACAGAGTT